TAGATGTTATCATCTGACAGTATTATTAATAACATACATATAGTCAACTCCAGTGACCAACATCTAATAAACAATCGATCAAAGGTACAGGAAGTGATCGTTTGTACCAAGTACCAAGCTTCATTATTGTTAGATGTTATCATCTGACAGTATTATTAACAACATACATATAGTCAACTCCAGTGACCAACATCTAATAAACAATCGATCAAAGTTACAGGAAGTGATCGTTTGTACCAAGTACCAAGCTTCATTATTGTTAGATGTTATCATCTGACAGTATTATTAACAACATACATATAGTCAACTCCAGTGACCAACATCTAATAAACAATCGATCAAAGTTAAAATAATGGGAAGAATGGAAGGAACTGGAAAAGAGAATCCTGGATATCAATTCAGGAAGCCTGATGCCAAACAATGACATCACTGCTATATTAATGATGCATTAGATTAAAAATCATCTCCTTATCTACAATCATTACATGTATTCCAACTGAAGAATACTTTTACACAGAGCCCCTTTAATATTCAAACACAGGTTGCAAAGATATTTAAGGAAAATTTTCAGGAAACTGCTTTAATGGATGACGGTATATAAGTAGCCAATTCAGTAGCTACTGTTAAAGAACACAGACCTTTCACAACCAAGATCAAAACTTATTATCTCGATCAACAGACTGTCGAATCCCTGACTTACAGAAAGAGCAAAGCCGAACCAAGCACTAAGGTATGTTATTAACTTAAATTTATTTCATTTTACTAGGCAGGTTTTCAAACTTTAAAGATAAAAAAAAAGAAAAGAAATACAAAAATGTCGCATTTTTTGTAATTATGGTTTGCACAAAAATATACAAATTGTGCGCACATTGTATAAAATCTTCTTCCCCAGTACAATATAGGGGTGGATCAAGAAATGTCCAAAAAGGGGGGAGGAAGTAGTGGGGCTGAAGTAGTGGGGCTGATTGATACAACACCCTAGGGGTACAGGGTCCCCGCGAAAATGTTTGTTTTCTAGACGCCCAAAAATACCTCTGAGGTGTTTTGGGCGATCAATTTTTTCTTTTTCTTTTTTTTAAATTCCATATGGTGGGGGGGGGGGCGCCCAAATAGTTTTGTTTCAATCGCTACAAGCTATATTGTTGGTTTAGGCAGCATTTCCGATAGCCTCACAGAAAGCTACACAGTGTAACAATTGCAGTAAAAACACTATAGAAACAGTGTAGCAATTTTATGGAACCACACTTTCATCAGTTACATTAATATAATGATTTTAATATCACAGTTATGTTAGTTATGATGTTTTTCTATTCTTAGTTTTCTTTTAAAAATTACACAAGGACAATTACACAAAAAATAAATAAAATAATTTAAAATAAGTAATTAAGCAAAATAAAAACTAGGTTGATCTGGTTATCTACAATTTAAGGTCCCCCTCCCCCATATTGGTTTTACCCTATCAGAGTCAAATAAAAAATTCTTTATTGTTGCACTACATTTTTTACAAAGTATACATCTACATTCACAATTGTTATATATATGACATAGTCTTCAATAGGACATAAGACAATTCATATTATTTTACTATATCTTGACTACATTTGATTGGCAAAAAATAAATATAATTCCACTCATTTTCATTTATATTATTCATCACTATTTTTATTTTTAATTATTTCTTCAGTGCTTATACATATATTACAATGAACAAAGAAAGTAAACATCACTATATTTTAATTGGGATGTAAGTGATTCTACAAATATATAAATAAATATTTGATAAATTGTTTTTGTTGTCATTCCATGAAAATCCCTTTCATCAGTAAATATCAGAAGCCCTTTCACTTTAAAATCCATTCAATTAAAACCTGACTCAATGTCCTCCTCCAGTGGGATGGAATCACAGCAACCAAACTTTTCCATTCAAAACACAACTCTTTTGTAAGCAACAAGAAATTTTCAGATTTTATTTATTTATTTTTTGGCTTTAATTTGATTAATTTGTTATCTAGTTAATTTTCATGTTTTATACTTTTTTCTTTTATTGTATGTACTGACAGACCACCCTCACAAAATATTGTTAAAATAAATCAAGCCATGAATTAAAGGAAAGAACGTTCCCGTTCCCATCATAAAGATCACTGACCTATTCCATACTCCCAAAAAGAAAAATAAAGACAGGGTATATTATTTCTAGGTGGAAGACAAACAGGATGAGTAATTCATTTTTCCCAAGTGTTAAGAAGCAATTTAATGCAATTTCGAAAAGATAATTAGGTTTATGCAAAACTTTATACACATTAAATTCATTTTATGGACATACTGTTTTATGCCACTTGTTTTAAAATATCAAGACTTCTACTTTAGCCAAATTCTTACTATTTGAACTTTTACAATTTTAACCTTTAAACAATCAATCACAATAAAGTGGTTTGGTTGGGCCCTACAGTGTGTTTTTGGAGGCCGGCTGGGTTTAGCAATACCCATCTGTTATTACATGCAATTTTGATTGCTTCTCATAATGTACTGCCTAAAAATATAATATATAGTATTTATAATTAATTAAACATAATTATAAAATATTCAAAAAATTCTAATATGGAATTTCACTTTCCATCTTTTTTTAGATTCAAGATGTTGCTAAAAATCATGATTATCCTGGCAACTATTTCATTTGAGCAAATATTTGCTGAGAACCTTTGCAAAGACTGCTGCACTGCACTCCCTGGTAACCCTGGCAACCCTGGTAACCCAGGCAATCCTGGTAATACAGGCAATCCTGGTCAAAAAGGTGACAGAGGCTCTGATGGACTTGATGGGATCCAAGGCCAGAAAGGAGAGCCTGGTGTTCATGGTCCATCTGGAATCCAAGGCTTGAAGGGGCCCCCTGGAGTGCAAGGGCCATGGGGGCTTTCAGGAAAGCAAGGGCCTCCAGGGCCAAAAGGTGATTCATGGTTTCCTACAGAGGCACAGATATCTTCAGGATTTCTACAGAGTCGAGATCGAACATTTCCAGGTCAAAAAGGGCAGCAAGGTGAGAGAGGACTTGAAGGTTCTAGAGGAATTCCAGGAGTACCAGGGCCTAAAGGTGAGCCAGGAGTACCAGGGCCTAAAGGTGAGCAAGGACTTCCAGGTCAAACAGAGCTTCCAGGCATTCTAGAAGCCTTCAAAGGTCAAAAAGGAGACAGAGGGTTTACAGGGATTCCAGGTGAAATGGGTTTACCGGGACTGGGTGGAATTAAAGGTGACAGAGGGCTTGTAGGGCTTAGCGGGTATGGGCTTCCTGGTCCTAAAGGTGACAGAGGATATCCAGGACGTTCAGGAGGAACAGGGGCAAGAGGACCTCGAGGCTATAAAGGGGTACAAGGTCCTCCAGGATCCAGCCGCGGCGAGACACAACAAAAGTTGGCATTCTCTGTTGAACACACCAATGGGAGCACAATACACACTGGTCCCATAAAATACAATAACATTCTAACAAATGTTGGTGAGCACTACAATGCTGCAACTGGCAAATTTGTATGCAAAATCCCTGGCACGTATGTATTCAGTTTCATATCGCAGATAACAGATCAGAATGTTCACATACAAAGCAATATCATGAAGAATGGTGAGATGATGACAGCTGGACTGGGCCAATCAGGAGAACCCTACACTAATGTTGTTGTCCTGAATTTACAATTTAATGACGAAGTTTGGATTGAGCCTCTGGCTGGGTTGGATGAGTATCTTGATATTAATTATTGTGCTTTCTCTGGTTTCCTGCTTTATGCATTTTAAGATAATAGCTGTGTTGGGATAATTCAATGTAATTGAGTATCTACATTTACTTTCTATAAAATAAGCAAATTTCGATTACCTAATTGCGACAAGAAATTGACTGTTTTAATACAATGTTTGAGGGTCTGAAGCCCAAAGTTTATATAAAAATGTACTGGAAGATATTACATTAGACGGTTTATAAGTTAGGTCATAGGTTAACTGATTTTTAGTATTATTACACACATAGATTTATTATAAAAATATATGCAAACAAATTATCAAAAACAGATACCCAACTTTTTAATTCTGATGTTATTCTCCATGGATAATTAAGTATATTGGCTATAACTCCTAGTGATAGTTAATTGATATTCAATTATAAATAATATCCTAAATCAGTGGTTCCCAACTTGTTTGCATTCGCGGACCCCTTCGGGACCTCCAACTCGTAAGTTCACTCACTCACTATACTATATTTTCCTGATGCAAACTCACATCAAATAATAATGAAATCATGAGAAATTAGTCTAAAAGTCTAGTAAGACCCAATACTTTTCATGGACCCGTCAAACTTGGCAGTCCCTTGGGGGAGGGGGTGTGAATCCCAGGTTTGAAACCACTGTCCTAAATGGATAATATTGGATCTGGACTGCTTAACATGATGCCCTAAAGCCACAATATAACCATAGCTATTGTATGTATTACTGTAGTTATACAAAAAGCTAATGTTCGCCAATATTCTTGAGTACAAAAAATGTTAAAGGAAGAAATAAATGTTTGTTGTTGTAAAGAGAAACCACTGATTTCTGTATGAATTTTACAAGTATCTGTGTAAATGATTCATGGATGAAATGGAGAGAGATAACATGTGTGTTTGTTGAAATCTACATTCAAGAAGAGGTACTGAAAACTAGTCAACACAACACACTTAGTCAATACAACTAGTCAAACCCAACTACAGTAGTCAACACACTTAGTCAATACAACTAGTCAAACACAACTACAGTAGTCAACACAACTAGTCAACACATAGTCAACACAACTACAGTAGTCAATACAACTAGTCAACATACAGTCAACACAACTAGTCAACACATAGTCAACACAACTACAGTAGCCAACACAACTAGTCAACACAACTAGTCAACGCAACTACAGTAATCAACATAACTAGTCAACACAATTAGTCAATGCAACTACAGAAATCAACATAACTAGTCAACACATAGTCAACACAACTACAGTAGTCAACATCTAGTCAACACAATTAGTCAACGCAACTACAGTACTCAACACAACTAGTCAACACAACCGGACAACTTAAAATTGCTTTGGCATTTCTGTGTCGGCATTCAATTGAATTTTCTCTGTTGACTGCTTAAAATAGCATTGACTGACTACATGCATGAATGAATGAAGGAATTAATCATTAAATGATTGATAAAATAAATGAATGATTAAAAATAACTGAAATATTAAATGCATGATTAAATGATTGAAGAAAACAATGAAAAAGGACATAAATAAATACTGGAAGAGAATGAATAAATGATAGAGACAAAAATAATGAATAATAAAATAAATAATTGAATGAATGAAGGAAAGAATAAATGACAATATTAAATGATAAATGGATGAATAAACGAATAAATGAATGACTGATACTGTAGATTGAATAAACAAAGGAATAAAAACAGACAAAAAAGAAAAGGAAAAATAAATTAGCTCATTTATTAATTATTAACTTCATTTATTCACTTATTAATTTGTTTACAATTTATCACTATGACACTTCTGACATCACAAAACAAAAATGCAATGAGTGTAAGCAGAGAAACCAATACTCTAAGCCAAAGTAAATGATAGATTTCAATGATTTTCAATATACTGTTTTTGTATAGATGTCCAGGATATGCTAAACCGAAAACTTTGAAAACTCCCCATCTCCTAAAAATAAGCAAAATGCATGTATTGTATACACGTACACATAAGTTTTAATTAGCAATTACTGTAGAAAAGAAGTGCTCCAGGTAAGGTACCAGTGGGATCAGAGGCGTGTCAAATGGATGAGCGGTTAAGGCCATAATATCGGCGCTGGTACAAACGGCATGCTTGTCTATGGTTCTGGTGGTCAAACAAGTCTTCTCGGATAAGGACTATAAACTGTAGGCACAGTGTACGAGACAAGTAGGAGGGGGGTTTACCCCGTTGTTGTGGACAGACGAGAGTAGCTGGTACCGGTTTATTGGGTAGCTAAGGCATGAAGAGACCCTTAGGGGAGAAGCAAAATTACTGTCCACACCTCAAGCACTTTGAGACTGGTATAAAGCGCTATATAAATCTAACTACATTGCATTACAAATCACCGCAATGGACAAGCACCAACTCCTGTCATTAGATGCTACCAGAGGTCATTGAATTATCAATAACTTGCTGACACAACCAGAGTTATTGTCATCACATTCATTTAATATTGTGGCCTAAAAGCACAATTTTACCATAGTAAACCCCAAGATCACTTGCGACAATGATTTTAAACTTTTTAAAATTTGTTCAAAATATTCTTCACATCCTACAGCAAGCAAACCCATCACAACAGGCATTGGCGGTTGTAGGATATATTTTCTGGGGGGGTGGTGTGAGGGCTAAGATGGGAGGGTGTGCTAAATCAAGTAAGTTTTTGGGAACACAGGCCAGAAATGGCACACTTAGACTTGAAATATACTTTTAAATGTAAAATTTATCAAATACATTTGTTACTATAATCTCAAACTCAACTCAATATACATTTTAATTTATTAGGCTTTTTTTTTGTGGTCTGACTGCCCATCGAGCTCTGGCCTGTCGGGGGTGGGAGGGAGTATGCCTGACCGGCCCATGCTTTAAAAAGTAAGTCTCTTTTACAAGGCTTTAGGAGTGGAGCTATTTTTTAGTCATATATCCTACAGAGTCCCTTGAATTGCATTGTAATGATACAAGAATTCATGCCCCTGTTGCAGATAGACACGAGGGACCTTAGGAAAGAAGCAAATCCATTCCTCAAGCGCTTTGAGACCATTTTGGTACTGCATAATTACATTACATTAAAAATAAAATTAATGCAAAATATTAAAGGGAAAGAAATTTGGAGGGGCTTATAATTATGTACCAAAATTTATACAATAATTATAATAACTCATTATTTCATTTTACGTTTTTTGAAGTAAATTTTGGGCACTAACCAACAGAGGTCAATACGGTGCCAAGCCTACCAATGTTTTATCATACAACACCATTGGAAACAATGGTCGAATCCAGACGCAATGGCTACCAACAGTACAACTGAGATATGCTACTCTCAAAAGATGAAAGAGCACAAACATTAATAAACAAAAGCCTTAACATTGAATAAAGGTATTTATTATTATTATTTTTTTAAATTATGTTATTTATTTTAATTTAAAAAGTATATATTAATAATGCTAAGATATGCTACTCTTAAACGATGAAAGAGCACAAATATTAAACAAAAGCCATAACATTAAATAAAGGTACTTATTATTTTTAAAATTTATGTTTAAAAAAAGTATATATTAATAATGCTTTATCAAAGTTAAGGATAAAAAAAAAGGTAAGATTGAGTATTTCTTTTTCCAAACAAAAAAAAATTAAAACTTGAATGGTAAAATCATCTTAAAAGTTTTGCTGTTTTAATTTATTTGGTTTGGAAAAAACAAATACTCAATTTTTTAAACCACATGAACTTTTACAATCATGATAAAAATACAGGCCTACTGTGTAATTACTACACATTAAAAGATAGAAATAATAGATGAAATTCAAGAATATATAAGTAATACTTTTTTACATTCTGTACATAGATCCATAATTGGCTACAGCTGTTTCTGCACATCAAAGATTCTAAATCAGTTTCAAACCGTGGCTTATACAAATTGTATAGCTTATTTCATCACCTTAAAGGTTTCTCTTAAATTCTTGAGACTTTTTTTTTTCAAATTTTATCAGACACCACCATCTTTCAGATCAATGTACTTGCTAGGATATCGTATACTAGAACGAACATGTACAGGATGTTATTCGTACCAAGCTCCATTATCATCATCTACATGTTGTCGCAGATGGTATATTTATAGCAATCATAACGTCAACATTGTATAAACTCAAAGTGATTGAGACTACTAAATATTCAATTAAAGTTGAAATATTGGAGAGTACGGAAGGAAGAGGGAAAGAGTATGGTGGATCCTGGATATCAACTGGCAATTCAGGAAGCTTGATGTCGAACAATGACATCACTACCATATTAAAGTTGCGATAGATTAAATTCATCTCCTAAAATCACTCTGCAATCATTATGCCTATTCCTACTGAAGCATAGATTTACAGGATCCCTTAATAGTAATTCAAACACAGGTTGCAGATATATTTAAGGAAAACAATCAGGAAACTCCTTTAAAGGGTGACGGTATTATAAAGGTATATAAGCAAAAGACGCTTCACAACCTAGTTCAGTAGCTACTGATAAATTTAGTAGCTATTGTCTTCACACACGACAGATTGTTGAATACTTGGGCAAAGGGAAAAGCCGACCTAGGCACTAAGGTATGTTATTGATTTTTTTAAAGTTTTATTCCACTTTACTAGGCAGACTTCCTAACTTCAAAAAAATGTTAAATGAATACAAATATGTCAAATTTTCTTTTTTTTTTTTTTAGTTATTTATAACAAAAATTATGGTTGCAGAAAAGCTAAGCTGCAGAAAATCTTGCCTCAGCCAGTAAATTTGGTAGTTAATCAAGTGCATGTAATATATAAATGCTAATCATATCACGGCCATATAGTTAGTCAGTATATTTTTCTACTAAATATAACTCAGATGTGCACAACCTACACAACAGTTGTCTGTGGAGCCTATACCGTATATAAGTCTCTGTGGTCTCTTGGTATAACGACTTGCCAGTCTCTGATTTATTGATTTTTCCCAGTGCTGGCTATTTCAGAGAGTGCCACCAGCGTCAATTTATGTAAAGAAAGTTGTTGAATTTGTATAGTATTTGTAAAGTATAATATGGAACGCAATGCAAACAAGTAATATTGACACCAAAACAGATAAAGTCTAGACCACCCTTTGATAGCGAGGGACTAAATTTGAATTTGCTTGGAAGACACCAATTTTAGAATTTTTTCCACAGGTGTACAACCATAGTTCTCAATGTGTTCAAATAACAGATCAATGTGGTATTTCGTCAGTATTTTAAATGACAAAATGGGGTTTTCAAAATATACGTTTTAAATAAATCATGACAACAAAAACATTTTATGTATCATGGAGTGTACTTAATTGATATTAAATTACCTAAACTACTGCGTAAATCAAGCTTGTTTTTAATTGATTTTGTTTACAGTGTATATACTGCACATTCTCGAAAAGAAGCCTATGCTATCTTGAAAAGAAGCCCATGGGATTCTGTTCGAGGATAATTTTGTAAAGAGGGGGGCTTCAATTCGAGACTGAAAAAGTTATTAATTATCAATGTTCACATTTTAATTAATAATATCTATCAGTTAATTTCTTTAAATTTTAATCTATTATTTAAGTATAATTTGCATGATTATGATGGCAATGATGTCAAACTTGGGCTTCACAATAGTATCGTAAGTGAAAAGTATAACGCCAATAAAATTGATTAGAAGACTAAAAAAAGTTATTAATTATCAATGTTCACATTTTAATTAATCGTATCTATCAGTTAATTTCTTTAAATTTTAATCTAATGTTTAAGTATAATTTGCAACAATTTTCCATTTTATTTTAGATTCATGATGTTGCTAAATATCATGGTTATCATGGCAATGATGTCAAACTTGTATGTAACTGCTGTTGACACAGACTGCAGCACTCCAACCTATGGTAACCCAGGCAACCCCGGCAATCCTGGTATTCCAGGCAACCCTGGTAATACAGGTAATCCTGGTCAAAAAGGTGACATAGGATTTGATGGACGTGATGGGATCAAAGGCGAGAAGGGAGAGCCCGGAATTCAAGGCGTAATTGGAGAGACAGGTCTAGCGGGGCGTCCAGGGGCGGATGGCCCAAAGGGGATTTCAGGTGAAATGGGGCCTAAAGGGCCTCCTGGTGACCGATTGTGGCCTCGACCTGAGATGTCTTCTGTTCGAGTGATTCAAGGTGAAAAGGGAAAGAGAGGGCAGAGAGGAATGCAAGGTAATCCGGGTTTTCCCGGATTTACAGGGATAAAAGGCGATCCAGGCTCCCAAGGGCTTCCAGGTGACCGGGGACTTCCAGGTAAGCTAGAACTTTCAGAGATAGAGCTGTCAGCAATCAAAGAAGGGGGTTTATTGAAAGGTGTAAAAGGAGAGCCTGGGCCAATAGGTTTTCCAGGAGTTCCAGGTCGACCAGGGATAACCGGCCTTCCTGGATCTCGAGGTGACAGAGGGTTTCCAGGGCTTGGTGAGAGTGGGCGTAAAGGATTTAAAGGTGATTACGGACGTCCCGGACCTAAAGGTGACCCAGGCGCAAGAGGGCGTCAAGGCCACAAAGGAAATCAAGGCCCTCCAGGACCTAAAGGCAGCAGTGAGACACAAAAGATGTCAGCATTCACCGTTGAACACACCAATGGAAGTACAATAACTGCTGGTCCAATCAAATTCAATAGAGTTATAACAAATGTTGGCTTTCACTATAACGTTGCCACAGGCAAATTTGTATGCAAAATTCCTGGCACGTATGTATTCAGTTTCATACCTCAGACAACAGATCGGAATGTTGAAGTACCGACAAACATCATGAAGAATGGTGAAAAAATATCAGCTGGTCTGGACCAATCAGGGGAGAAGTCCTTCACTAATATTTTTGTCCTGGATTTACAACTCGCAGACCAAGTTTGGATTGAGCCTCAGACCGTGCTAAATAATTTACTCGAGGTTAATTACTGTTATTTCTCTGGTTTTCTGCTGTATGCATCTTAAATATATACTGTCAGTCTGCGGTGAGATAATTAACAAAAAACTCAATGTTTCCATTGGTTGAATTTAACATTTAATTATTACAGCAGTTTAATGTTTTTATTAAATGTTAAAAGGTATGTTACAAATACTACTGCAGACAGTACACCTTCTTAATGAAAAAAAAATCATATATACATGATGATTATTAGTATTACTATAAAAACATAGATTTATTATAAATATATTAGAATGCTTCTCCCATGCATGTTATTATAATTGGCTTGCAAAATGGCCATTCCAAATTCACAATATTACATACTAAAGCATGCATACAAATATTGGATGAGTGAAATTTTGGGTGCACGAAACTCTCTTGGCTTTATTTTAACATGTGCAAATATATGCGTTATGTTTATATCTTTTTGACTATGAGGTGGATGTTATAAGTGGTCTACAGACAACTGTAAACCTTTCAAGGTTGAACCCACTATTAAATAACACAAATCAAAAGTGATGTTGTCTGTCTATGAGTGAGATACTCACCAGGATGAACCGATATATGCCAATTCATTTTACAAATTTCCCTAAAAAATAATGGAACTGTCCAACCCACATTTACCAATGAGAGTTTAACTTGAAAGCCATTGTGTTGCTTTGAAAAACTGAATAATTAAAATTGGCATATATCAGTTCAATCTGGTAAGTATTTACAAAATAGATACAGAAAAACAAAGTCTATGCCTCAGAACTTAATTTTTGTCAAGTATACTGTAGTTTAGAAAAGAGTTTACGTGCAAATGTGACAAATATCAACTACCAATTTTATTAATGATATATAGACAGCAATCTGTTTGTGGTCTTTGTAAAACAGGTCTTACAGGGGTGATTAATTACTGCCTGTGTAATATAGCTGGCTATAATCAACCTATACAGTAGCGTATCTAGTGGGTGGCATGGGCCACTCATATACTCATGTGCCCCCCCCCCACACACTCATCCCCAAAGTAGTGTAGAAATCACCTCACATCACCTTATTTTGCGAGCTGGTGCCCCTCACCTTAACCAGGAATTTTAAAAAGTGGGCCTAGGGAGAGGCTTTCACAGGTGAAGTCTATATCACCTCAGTCCCACTATCATTGGGGCTGAGATAAGGAAATTTATGATTATGGCACCTTTAGATGGCTGGAAATGGCAATCTCAGCCCAAAAATTTGAATACAATTTTTTTTTTTGACTAGACAACCTTACACCCCCTCCCCACTTTTGAATCCACCACTGTAAACAACCATTTATGCAAATATGCTATAGTTACTTATGACTTGGTCAAAATATGGACAATTTAATTTTGGCCATGAATCACATGTATGTCCCAAGTAAAGGGAATATTGAAGAAATAAATTTTTGTTATTAGTAGAAACCAATTATGAATTAGTTTGTTTGCATAATTAATTCATCAACGAAATTCGGAGAAAAATGCGCTGAGCTAGCTGATGTTTAATTGAAGTCCATCTACAAAGAAATACCAAAGTGAAGTGAAAACAAAGAACATACTTATAGATTATTCTTCATTTTTGTGGCAATATTCAACGGGTTTCCTCTGTTGGCAGTTTTCAATTAGATGAAAAACACTTATCAGGTGCAGAGCAAGAACTTCCAAAATGGGCTGATGGGTTGAAGAACAGGGAGGGGCACAATCGGGGGTAACGAGGTGACACAAATTGGATCCGGATCCCTGCCACAGGGCATATTGTGCTACATAGATGACCAGACATACTCTCTACTGCATTATGAATAGTCTGCTAAATAATTAAATTAAACCATCTAAAAATTTACTTACCTTCAGTGCAAGTTGCACTGGCTAATAGGAAGAAGTGCCCTCTATGTTGACATCGACAATGAAGTTTCTGGAACTTTCCTTTAAAACAAAATTGAACAAAATCTGTTATTGCATTACAAAACCAAACACCACAATGCAAGTGTGCATAAATTATACAGTATAAATACACAAAACAACCCTACAGACACCCAACTACAGTACAGACATCCCAACGAAAACCTACAGAAATATTCCTATACACAGAAACCCACGCTAAAGCATTTTATACATTTTGAACTCACCAAGACATGTTTCTGTTCCAAAGTTGTCAATCATATCCAAGATGGGGTCCTTCTGGTGGTGATTGGGCATTACACAGGGAGACAATCCCCTACTTTTTATTCTGAAAGAATAATAATAATGCACACAAGACTAACGGCTTAAACGTCTCATCCGAAAGACGATGCAATATTGTAAGTTGTATTTCAGCCCTCCAGCTGAAACACAAGGAGAGCGGCGATTGGAATTGAACCAGGGACCTGGAGATCTCCTCGGTTCAAGGCACACATAGCATAGGTACGACCAGTTCAGCCGAATGAGCTAAGCTGCTCTCAAACTGCTCTCAGTTCGACACGCGTTTCTTCTTGTGTGGACGACATCATCTTTTGACTCTATGCATTAATGAATATTTGTTGTTATTTATTATTTTGTGGTACAGGGGCGGATCCACACATTCACCACAGCAATGGACAGACTGATGAGAAATTTAAAAAAAAACCAAAACTAATTGCAATGCTGCTGAGTGGATAGGTGGGAGAAACACGGTCAAAACCAGACTCAATAATCTAAAACATCCAAACACACAAATATTGCTCAGAAAAGTTTATTTTCATCATTTGTTATACAAAATCAGTAGAGAAATACAAAACACATACGGGCAAAAAAAACCCCCAAAAAACACGTATCTTGAGAGAGGCATGAATTACTAGGCAATTGTATCTACAAAAAGCATGCACCCCTCCCCACACACAGAAAATATACTGAGCAAATCAATTTCTTCAATAGTACCGCATATAGCCTTACTTTGCCAGGTAGCACCCACCCCCTCCCACTTAACCACCAAAACCTTCATTTGACCATTGCAGGGGCGGATCCAGAGATGTCCGAAAGGGTGGCCAAAAGTGGAGCTGATCAAAATAACACTACCCTACACTGCTCTCCCAAAATTTTTGTTTTTTAGATGCCCAAAAATAACATCCAAGGTGTTTTGGATGATCAATTTCTTCTTTTTCTTTTACTTTCCAAAGAAGGGGGGGGGAGCCTATCTAGCCCCCCCCCCCCATAAATCCACCCCTGCAATGTGGCACCCCCATCAGCTCCATGTCAATATTCCTAGATACACCAATGAAACGCGGTGAAGTATTTTATTTGCATGGAGGATACCCCCCAAAAACCAATGCAAAATCGCTAGGAAAATAGTATGCAGAATCTTAACTACTGTACTGATTAATACATTGAATGTATGGAGAGATATTCCAAGGTCTAATTTTCTGCAAAAAATTTACCATAATTTTCCAAAATGCGCAGACGGAATTCTAGGCCTAATTTATGCGCGGGCGAAGCCATATTTTACATCTGGCACCAATGCATATAATACAATATATATTTATTACCCAATTAAATTTGTGATAAAAAAAAAGGGTGTTGTTTGTACTTTTTACTCAAACCAATTTGACAGCACTCAACAGCAGAGGAAATCAAAGTTTAATGACATTGCACATGATAAAAAAATGGACCTATTTTAAATTTTCCTTTTTATTTGAAACTTAATAGGATATTTCACAATAGAACCTTTAAATATCTTAGATTTTGACAAAAGTTGGGGTAACCAAGTTCTTTTAAGGGACAGAGTATAAAAGGCTGAGTATAAAGTACTGCAAATAACAGTGTTATGAGTTGATACAAAAGCATTTGATACAAACAATCAAACTGAAGAAACTAGCTTGAGATAACGAAAGCGCATGTTTCTAAAACAAAAATCGTTAGTAAAAACAAAGCGCTATTGGTTTTATTATCGTATTTCATTTATTATTGAATAAAGGCCAACTCGGACAGCGTTGTACGAGTAGCCCAACACAATTTGTTGTCGCGTCGGGTCTATGTGAGTTAAACGCAGATGATGGTTTGCGGCTGGGACAGTCGCTTAATATTTCTCATTACTTAAGACTGTCCCCGATGACAAATCGCATTGGGCTGTCGTACGACGCTGTCTGAGTTGGCTTTAATACAGCTCATGTTTTTTTGTTTTCACCTGACAAGAATGAAGCATTTTCTGAAGTACTCAAATTACAACATGTAAGCCTAAGCTGTGTCCTCAAACAAAACTGCAAATTTATTCCTGTGTCTAGAATGAAACAGTGGAATATCTAGTAGTCTTGAAATCGGGACGGGTGCTAATGGGGGAGTGAGGATGAAGGCCTCGATTATTAACCGAGAGGGAACTTTCTCTCAAATTAAGATGATTTGCAACTACTCACACGTAATAGATTTACTTTGAACATTTCTAGGGCGTGACTGTGAGTGAGCTTTTTTATGGGGGTGGGCACATATGCCCCTGCATATCCCCTGGATATGCCACTAAAGAGATACAAACAATGATATAATTTACACTATATTGCTGTAGGAAGATATAATTTAAACAATGTTTTTGGGCTTAATTGGAAGAAGACTTGGTTCAAAGATTCATCTTACTAAACAGCTGTACATGGACTAAGCAACTGTACATGTGTCTGAGCAAGAGATAGAAGGAAAATCATGGAGGTGTTTCCTACTGCTAAACTCTTATCAAAGAATGCACCCTCAATAACCAGATGGAAGAACAGGCTTGATGGTGCTTCCAGCAGCATATTATGGTATCATGTTGACCCTACTGAGGGCTGGTAATCATTCATTCAACCTGAAGAAGCCTCTTCTAAGATTGCTCTAGCTAAGTTCCTTGCAAGTGCCAATTGTAACAGCTCTATTTTCTCATTTTCTACATGGAAAGCACCCTGAAAAAGAGAGAGATAACTATCACAACAAATTCAAGTTTGCAGGAATATTAATCATTGCTTGACTTATGTCCTAATGCAGGCAGATTCAGGGGGACAATGTGCCCACACCCTCACCCACCCCAAAAAAATCTTTCAAAATTATAAAAAAAAAAAATGTAGAAAAAAAGAAAATTATATTAAAATTTAAGTTTGTGGGTGCTATTTCCAGCCATCATAAATTTTCTTACCTCAACCCCAACAATTGGCCAGGTTGAGGTGGATTAGACCCTACTTTTGTGAAAGCCCTTGCCTGGGCCCCTCCATTGGACCTGCCACTGTAATATCCAATCCAAATATGGGAATATCAAGGGAATGGGCATAAACTACTAAAAATGACCATTAAGTTTTCATTGGAATGGAAATTTAGTTCTCTCAATTTTTGCACCACCATATATGGTCATGATGTGATGTCATCATGACAATATTTAGGCATTTTTAGATATGAAGAAGCCATACTTTGTGATGAAGGCGGTAATCGCGATCAGAATACTGTTGTGAATGGTAGTCCCGGCAGTCTTGCAGACTATGCATCAGTTCATAGGTTTGTTTACTTGATAGAATCACATCTTGAAGTTCCAGCAATGGTAGGGCATCGGTGAGGAGAGTCAGCCAAAATCTGAAAAAGAAAAACAACAAAAAAATATATTTATATACAGTAGAACCCCTATTAAGAAATACCTTTGGGACTAAAAAAAACATGCCAAAACATGACAGCTTTTGGCATGTTTTCATGCAACAGTAAACATACTGGTATATTCTTTATAATTTTATTTTTATTGATACAAAAATCAGTTACAGTAGAATTAAAATTAATTCATAGCAATAATCTGCAATACAAATATAATTCATTTTTAATATGAAATCAGTTCCTTAAGGCTCATATTGCCATATAGTTTGTGGAAAGCATTGATTTTCTACTGTCTTGTGAAATGTATTGTCAGTGATGTATTCACTACTTACAATCATTGGTGCATATGTTAATGTGTGCCTAAATAAATAATAATAATAATTAATAATAATAAAAAAAAAAAAGGAAATTAAGTGTACCATTAATATGGATTATTTGTCAATTTGACCACTTAGAAAGTGTGTTAAAAGGTATTTTGGCTTAACTCCAATAATCTTTTTCATTATGAAGGATAATGCCTAAATAAATAATAATAATAATAATAATAATAATAATAATAAAAATTTAAAAAAAACCAGAAAATTAAGTGTGTTAACCTTTTCCAGTCGTATGGCGTTGTGACGACGCCCTCTTTGACCATACTTTATAGCGAGGGGCATCGTATGTATAGATTTCATGATAATTTTTTTATAGCTAAGAGAGTGATGTAGGAGTATTTCTGTAGAGGGCCTCCTGTATTCAGACCCAAAAAATTGCCTGCACCCAGTAAAAACCCGACATTTAGTGTAGAGGATGTAATTTCTCAGCTTTGGTACAGCCTCAGGCAATGGTAATGCGGCAGACTGGAAAGAGTTAAAAGATATTTTCGCTTAACTCCAATAATCTTTTTCCTCATAAAGGGGATGCCTTAAGAGCTTATGAAAATAAAAGTTTGCAGAGATCATAAAGCCAAATATGCAGGAAACCATACAGTACTTATGGATGTTAGTACCTTATAATATGCACAGTCATTTTTCAAGTAATTGTGTATTTTTTATGTTTCTGTGTTTTCATGTTTTTTTGTTTTTTTTTCTAAATCTGTAGTGTACAAAAAGCAAATTTTGAATTTATTTTATTGCACATTGGACAAATAAATGCTGTGGATTGCAGCGAACTCACATTTACATTTCCCCCGTGTTAACTCTGGATTAGGAATTAAGACACAGCTCGAGTACTTACCTTTTCGGTGCAAGTTTGGCTGAAAGTAGGGAGAGAAGTAAAGAAGCGCCCTCTTTGAAATCACCTTGTTCATACAGGCGATGAAACTCCCTGTACTTTCCTTAAGGAGAAAATTGAACCAATCATAATCTGATATTGCAATCACATAGTCTTTTCAACTAAGTATAAACACAAACTTGCACAATTACCTTAAAAAAATGTAAACACCTAAAAACATCCCTAAACAAGCCCCATCAAATACCTCTATACAACTACAGGTCTCCCTCCAATGAAGGACCACCTCCAATTAAAGACCACTATTCTGTGGTCCCAAATTAACAAATTTTTAAAATCTTTATTATTCCAAGACCAAAGCTGCTAAACACCATGGAAACCCTAGTCCCAAAAGTTTTCTTTAATTGCCAATCATCTCAAAACACCCCGAAAAATAAATGGAACAGTCCTCCCCTTGCACCATGACCCAACAATTGCTGCCACACTTTCAGTACACAAACCCACAAGCCGTCTCCTACACACAAACTTTCATCAACCCAAACATTTCCATATATCATACACAATGCATTTTAATACATTATTTGAGCAGACTTACCAACAAACGTAAGCCTGTCACTCAAAAGCATTCCGGGTCCTAAGTTGTCAATCAAATCTAAGTTTGAGAAGTCTCCGCTCCGTGTGTACTCTGCCAGGAATTTCTCTGACAGATACGTAGCAAAAGCAGCATCTTTTGATTGCATACACCACGAGAGCGCTGAACCGAGACGGCCGTTATGCATGGCCCTCCTGCACATTACTTTACAGATGGTCTTGACTAAAAAATAAACCAAACAAGACAAAACAATTACAGAAACAAGATGGCAAAGGAACTTATAATGATCATGTCCTTAGATAAATTAATAATAATAATTGACTGTGGCCACCTAGAGATAAATGCCAGTATGACCAAGACAAAAACATATTGGTTTAAAAGTACCATATTCTGAAACATTACAACTTAAAAATGGAGTCAATATGTCTAATAAACCTTGTGAATACTATTCCTGAGATGAGGTGTTGAAAAAGAAAAAGCTTTGATGTGCTTATCCACCAAATATTGAATATTAGTATTGAACTTGTATCAGCTTAGGCACGTAACCATGTAGTAAACTTGACAAGTGTGTCATCAGAGATATGTTATCAGCTTAACACGTATAAGAAATGTATAAGAATTTTTTTGCAAGTATTTGGGAAGGTACTGAATATTCAGTACAATAACACATAAGGTTCGGGAAAAAACATAACTCCTATGATATTTTCCTGAGGTAAACCCATCAAAATAGTATTGCAGTACTCACTACTACTTGGCGATCGGATTCAACACTAGTCACTAGTCGGTGGAATAATGGTTATGACACCAGGACAGTTATATGGAGGTCATTGGTTGGATTCCCACCCGGATAACTCAGAACGAACACATGGCAAAAAACATCATTCCTAAGGCAAGACTTTTATTATTCCTAGTTTCGCATACTTATTTTTTTTTAAGATTATCGGATGGCGGAGTAAAAATAAAAATAAAATTTTGTTTTCTTATTTAGTAAATATTTTTGCAAAAATCATCCAGATGGAGGAGAATATAAAAATAAAATTTATTGGTGAATGTAAAATAGGATGTTTAAATGCTTATATACATATCTTATCTTTGTCGATTTCAAGGCAGCAGAGGGCGTAATAAAAATAATGAAAAACTTTTACTTTTTTTCCTGAAATTTCCACATTTTCGTAGCGGCTGGTGTGTTAATTGACCAAAAATAAAATTTTATTTTTATTCGAAATCATTAATATTTGCAGTCGATTTATTTTTAAGATGATTTATGCTTTGGCTTGTTACCTTGGTCCTTCATATCACGTTCTTTGCACATTTCCAACAGCTTAATTGCCTTCTTATCAGTCTGCAATGGAACCCTTTCAACCAGCAACTCTTGATAATGTCTATAAAATAATTGATAATTAATAATAAATTATAATAATAATTGATAATTAATAATTGATTAATAATTATGGAGCACAGAAAATATTTTGCATTATCTCAATGTTCTGATATTTTGAAAAATTATTATTAAATATTATTATTGTTTTTATATAATTATTAATTTTATTTTTATATATTAAATCATATTTTTCCCTGTATTTCTGTATTTATACTTACATAAACTGCAAGTACTGGCCTTTAAGTAATTATTATTTGCTTTTTTACATGGAATTTTAATTAATTTAATAATTTAGGAAAACAAATTTTTTTAATTATTTGCAATCTTTTATTTGTGTGTTCTATATTTAACTTTTCACTGTTTCTATTCTCAATATATTGCTGCCATTGTTTCTGTGTTTCCTCGTGTTGTTGTTTTTATTGAGTGGTTCTTGCATTGTTAAACTTCAATTTTGTTTTCAAAATTGCAATAAAGAATAAAAAACCATTAATACTTAGTTATACAACCATTATAACCAGTTGAAATGACATTAAAAGGCACATTAATCTAATCCTATACATCCATTCATAAATCAAATCAAAGAATCCACATTTCTTTTTGTGTAAAAAAAAAAACTGATTTGACCTATCCTACACTCCTGCATCTTACCTGCCAAATTCAGTGCAATGATCCAGGTACCCCATACATATCTGCCACATGCTATCATACAAGAAAAAATAGTACAAGTCATGATACATCAAATAAAAGATAAATATACATATATATCTAACAAATCCAAGCTTTATTTATCTTGCATATCTATTTCTAATTATGATGGACTCACATGCTAGAATACAAGATAAAATAAAGGACTGCAAGTCACTCCACAACAGATGAAAGATATAACCAATCTAAGGTATATTTTTGATAGCTCCTTATGATTATGATCAACCCTTCTACAGATAGAGTTTCAAATTTAATAAACATCCTACTAGTAACCACGATCTAAAAATCTTACTAGCAACTATCATCTGTCTTCACTAACATAAAAGCAGCGACAGCTGCATGATTTAACTGACATCACAACCATCTAGGCAGCTACGGCGGCATAATCTAACAGACTCCCCTACCATCTAGGCAGCTACAGGGGCATAATCTAACAGATGCCCCTACCATCTAGGCAGCTACGGGGGCATAATCTAACAGATGCCCCTACCACCATTAAGTGCTCTTATATAACGCTTAATGCCTTTAAAAAGCCTCTAAGCGCTTCACATTACTACCCCGGTCATTGGATGAAACACATGTAGAACACATTGAACACCAAATTAAATTATTAAATTAAATTATATTATCATTCCATAATATTGCGGCTAGTAATCAGCGCAGTTGTGTTCGAACCTACCAGGTACCCACTTTTACTCCTGGGTGGAGAGAGGCAACCATAGATAAAGTGCCTTGCCCAAGGACACAAGCGATTTGCACAGCGAGAGTTTCGAACCCCCGACCCGAGGTTGGGAGTCCAAGCCACAAGCTTCTACAAAATATACCAGACGCCCCTAAAATCTAGGTAGCTACAGTACAGGTACCTAGATAAAGTCCCTACAATCTAGGCTGCTACGGCTGCATAATCTGACGTCTTTACCACTACAGCTGCATAATATGAAGTCCCTACCATCTAGGCAACTACAGCTGCATGACCTGAAGACCTTACCATCTAGGCATCTGCGGCGGCATGATCTGAAACCTCTACCAACTAGGCAGCTGCGGCTGCATGATCTAATTTTCCCACCATCCAGGCTGCTTCGGCTGCATGATCTGATGTCTCTACCAATTAGGCAGCTATGGCTGCAGGATCTGACGTCCTTACCATCTAGACAGGAATGACTCCATGATCTAACCAACTACTCTACCGACTAAAGCTCAATAGTCTGATGTTTCTATGATTTAGGAACAGCACTCAATCTACTGTACCATCAGAAAGGAACAGTTCCATGATCTAACCAAAGTTCTCTACAACCTAAGCAACTGCAAATACACAAATAATATTCCCTACCACCTGTTGCATGATTATCTAACCAACTTTAATTGCATCTAGGCAGCTTTTACCTTTCATGTGACATAAGACTGGAGACGTATTCAAGAAGTAAAAATTCCCTCAAGTTTGAACCATAACTGAAATACAATATACAAACATTTTAAATTTACAAATTTTCATACAAAATTGAAAAGGCAAGACTTTTTTTATCATCATTATTGGCGGGTGGTGAGTTCACTAAACAAGGTATAAAAAAGTCTTGCCTAAAATACACAATTACGCATTAGTTAAAAAAAATGGAATACGCAAAAATCAGTAAAATTGCTAACAAATGAATATACAGTCCGACGTATCTTCTTTTTTGAATATTCCATGCTTATCCAAATTTCAACTGACTCACTTCTTTGCGAATGAAAATGATGCCTTATAAACTTAAGTCTCATTATGTGCAGTAAAGGGCAGAAATAACTATTAGTGTAGTCAAATGATGAACTACACTCATGGGATATGATGTACACTTGTAGAGGTTACAATTACAGGTAGCCAGGAGTTCCTCCAATAAATATAAATATAAAACCTGAGGATTTTTTGATCCAGAATCCAAGATTCTTAACAGGACATTTCCAAAGAGGTTTGCTAAAGTGGCTACCATAATCATTCTTGGCAAAGATGGCTGGATGGCTCGCTAGCTAAGTCCTTGTGATGACATCACATCATGACCATATATAGGCACATCATGACCATATATAGGCACATCATGACAATATATAGGCTCATCATGACTATTTATGAGCATACTGATAATTGGACAGAGCTTCTACATTAATTGAACTATACTTACTTGAGTTGATGTGTCTCTAGCTGGCCACAGTGATGCAGTAGGTCAGTTATATGGGCACTGAACCACCAATTATTCAAGCATGTACTATAAAAACCAGTAAGTAGATTATACAATAATTAACATTAAAATAAAACATCAATAAATTAAACATAATCAATTAAGTTTATATTCTACATTTTTCATATTCATTATTTACTTATCACTAAAACCGTAAATAACAAACTTATTACAAATTAGAAAAAAACGTTTTTTTAACCGTATTTCATAATCCCACTACCCACAATTAATAACTTTAAATATAAATTTCGAAAATTAAAATTTCAGAGAAAAATAAAATTATTTATACATGCTTATTACACGCAGCTCTAAGGCAACCTTTGACCCTTAAGATATTTACCTGCTTTCTTTAATAACTTGGTGAATATCAAATTCAAGTGCTGCAAGTAAGATGTTGTCAAACGGTGCAAGACCGATGGTGCCACCATATGCATCAATACAAGACTAAAAAATGAGAAAATATACATTAGTATACAGTAGAACCCCCTGCACTGGGACACCCAATTATGGGGACATCCCTATTAATGGAACACCTCTATATAGGGGACATCCCTTTTAAGGGGACACTTTTTTGGCCATGAAACATGAAACATGGCAGCACCCAAGTTTAAAGATATATTGTCCCATCAAAATGACAAAAAATCATAAAAAATAATTTTGAAATTAACTAAAAAAATATGTACCCTGATTTTCAAACTGGATAATTATAATAAAGATAACAAAACACTTTCAGTGACTGGAAGTCTGGAAGTGTTTCTATCATTTTTCGCTGTAAAATTATTATGGGTAAATATTTTTTAAATACCCTAATTTTTATGTTCAATTTGATCACCTTTATGTTACCTCAAAATGGGCAAGTTAATTTCAAAAATGATTTTCATTATTTTTTTTTGGTATTTTGCATGGAACAATACATTTTTAAAACGATCAAAAGGATGAACAAAAAAGAAATAAAAAGAACCCATATAATTATAATACAACAAAAAGCATTTGATTATGATTTTATGCTTTTAATTATACATCATCCAGGAGCATTTGCAAGTGGCAACCTATAGAGGCATATGTAGAGCGAAGTTGAAGAAGAATCAAATATTAACCTTTGTGTGGTATTGAAGGTCGAATGTCTTGACTGTAGGATTGGTATACAGAAGTTTGGCCACCAGCATTTGATACCAAGTTTCTGTTAAATCTCGCAACTCAATGAATACATTGTCATCACCTGCTAAAATCTAGAGAACAGAAAAGAGGTAACAATATAATCACTGGATAACCTGTATTATATCATCTTCTAAATATTTCTTGTTTAATAAAACAAATTATTCAACATCTACAACTATAGTTAGGCCAATAAAAAAAATTCTTGCATTGGCCACGTTTTGGGAAAATCCAAAAAATGGGTAGGCCGGTAGAAAAATGTGTTTATGCCTAAAAAGTAGAAAATATGCAAAAATACAACAAAGATGAATTTTAAATCTCTATTGAAGAGCAAAACAATCACATAACACTGTCGCATCGCCTACCGTTGCAAGAATAGGCCTATTCCAGCCTTTTTGTCTCATTAAATTTTTTTCCATCTGGTCAAAAAAAAAAAAAAAAAATTAAAATGCTAACTCTGAATTTCAAATTGTTTGCGTTGGTCGGGCATGGCCAACACAATAATTTTTTTTTTTTATTTGGCCTTATTTTGGCACTTCATATATGATTTATTATTATGATTATATATTTGGAATATATAAACACAATATATAAGTGTTTATATATTTGGAATCTTCTCGGGCAACTGAATCTTCTTGGGAAAGTGCCTTCTTCCTTTTGATTTTGTTTCATAAATCCATTGTTTTTAATGATCCCTGTTATTTGACTGCAAATGGAAGAAAAGAAATGTATTTTTGAATTGAATTGAATATTATCATTATCATTATTTTTATTACACACTTTACAATAATTCAAGAGCTAACAGCAAACCACGGAAGAAGTGGCGTGATGGTTAGGATGCCCATCTTTAGAACACAAGGTATTGTAGTCAATCCAGTTTGATTGCTTTTACAAGCAGTATTCTTCACTTCACTAAATCGAAAAAAAAAAAAATTTTTAATAAAAATAATAAATAAAAAAAAAAATAAATAAATAAAAATTCAGAAAAAAAGGTTATATTTTGCAGGTGGAAAACGGCGCCGCGAGAAGCTCTGTTAGAAATGGATAAGTGTGCATATTAAATGACATTATTATCATTATTATTATTATTATTATTTCTCCATCTCATAGAATTGGTTGTAGAGAATCAAGGGTTCTAAATTATAACACCCCAACACCATATAATAGGATGTAAATCAAAGAGGGCAGTATTTACTTACCCGACAGATGGTTTCTAATTCAGCGTGTGATGACAGTTCTTGATCTTCCAGGCAGTGAATGCATTGATCTTGCCAGTGGCGCCATTTCATATCAAATTCAGCGAGTGACTGTCGTGTAAATGCACCGTACACAGGCATTTTCCGAAGAAGCTCGTTGATTCTTGCGAATACCTAAATGATGTAATAGGGAACATCACATAATTGAATATTACATAAAATGAATATCGCATATGCAATCACCAAACCAAATAATGGCCATTTAAATAACACTACTTATATCGTCTCTACATACATTCGTAGTAAAAAATGTCAGTAAATATTGAAATGTGTTTTTTTCATGATTTATGACTTTATTTAAAGCTGATAACTGATGTAGTTCTTATAAATGAGTAATCCAAATATTAAATTTTTATTTTATTTTCTGAGGATTTAACTTAATATTTTTGGGTGGACTTGCATTTGGAGGATTTCTATTTCAATTGGTTGATTTTATATTAAAACCAGGTAAGTTTTCACCACCACAGTAAATACACCACATGTTAAAGAACAATACAGTAACATTGCCCATTTTTGTGCCATTCTGTTCGAACAGAGTTTGTAATTCAGAAAATTCAGAGTAGGAATTTTCGTACTATGAGGGTAGGCGCAGTGCTACATATTCAATTCAACTGCACCACCAACAAACAAGAAGACAAACTCTAAATTCCGATTGTATAGAAGCTGCCTGAACAGGCAAGCATGGCTGTAATCCGAATATATCTCGGAGGAAAATCATTGATCTTTCTTGCTTTAAAAAGAAAGTTTTATGTCGATACATTAGTTTAAACTTTTTCTTTCTTGCCTGATTTAAAATTTTTATAGTAATTTGGAGGATTTCAAAATACAATTTTAAGTGTTTATAAAATAAGAAAGATCGTTGGTAATGACGTCATCGTTATAAATTGTATTCGTACAATAACGAGTTCATGATTGGGAGATAATATTGTATAATTAAGACAGTAACAGTTCGACTTACCCCATGGACATCTCTCTGCTGACTTGGATGCAAAGTAAGCAAGTTTCTCGCTTCAGCTATTCTTCCTTGAAGTACATAAATATAAATCTGGATACAGAAAAAAAATCATAAATATTGAAGAAAATGTTTGCAGAACTAATAAACTAATAAAATTTTTTACTTGGACATCTTCTTACATATTCTGTAAATGATTTATTAAAAAATATGAATATCATGCTCTATCGAGACACATGTCAAAGCAATAGCTAACACTATATTCAGCTAACATCTGTGCTAAGTTGTCAATACATGTAAAATATTTTATATTACCAAAATGTGTTTATCTAACCCTAATAGCTGACGTCTCTTGTCAGCCAAGCGCAGGTGAGGAGGTGATGTCCGGAGAGGGATGCCGATGAGCTACACAGCTTACATGAACATGTATTGGACAAAAGGAAGCAACAGTGACTGCTGCACCACAAGTTGTGAAAGGGTATACCAAACCAACTATCCACTGCCGCCCTGACTGGACCTCGCAAAAGTGTTGCAAATGAGGGGTGTCAGTATCATCACGAATAAGTGATGAGAGAGGGGAATTGTTACAGAAAACGTTATGGAGCATTTCTCCAGCACTAATCCAACCCAACTCACAAAGGAGATGTGAGTTGAAATCCTGAAACTCTCTACTACTAGTATTTAAGGAGATGACACTGAACAAGTGTAAGAATAATATTCAAAATAAATCAGGACTGGTCAAATGTCCGGCAATGGGTCGAAGGCCATATGTTGCTGATGGTACCACAAAACTAGGAGCATATTAAGGGGCATATTAATGGCAATTTTTGCACATGCAGAAATGCCCCTGCTTTTCAAATGGTCAAGGTGACCATTAAACTTCCTCCCCTTTTAGTCTTATTACAAAATAAACTATAACAAAGAACATACCATTAAGCTGATGGGGGAGGTACACAAAAATGGACTAAATCCTGCATACCTCTGATAAGTTGTTAAAGAAAAATAGCATTAAGCATTCTGTTATTTTTTTTACTCACTGCATTCCAGTATTCTGGTGATTGTGTTGGGTTTGGTAGCCTAAGAATCTCCTTGGCTAAGCGATCACCCTGATCAAAGTGCCACTTCACCCAGTCTAGCAACTGCTGGAGTGTCCCACCTACAATCACATAAAATATATAAAAAAAAAAACTATAAGCAAGATACTAGCCATTTATCATTCACTACTGGAGTCTAAAGATGATTTAAACTTACTACCTCAGTTTTTTTCTCACCTAAACTTTATGAAGGACTGTCTGCTCATTGTACACTTTGTCCGATATTGCATGCTCTACTTCGAAAGCACTATTATTTCTTGGAATGTTATAAAATTGCTAAGCCCACCAACTACATTACATCCAATTTCCAGCACTACCAACATTTCCCCAGGCAAAAACTGATTTTGAATGAGTAGCACAGCTAGTTTTTAAAATACATTCAGGAAAGAAAAGCAGTTTTGAATTAGGCATGCCATGTTGAAAAACCATTTTATTTGACCATCCCTATAGTATTATAGGCCATAGTCAAATTTGCATTACGCACACCACCCCCCCCCCTTCCCAAAATTGGTAGAATTTCTGCTCTCCTTGTGTTTCAAGTGGAGGGCAGGAAATACAAGTTTCAAAAGCGCATCGTCTTTTGGATGAGTCGTTTAAGCCGTTGGTCCGGTGTGAAAAATGGCCCATGTGCACATTAAAGAACATAGTACACTCTTCGGAAAAAAAAAATGTAGGGGATTGTCTCCCGGTGTAATGCCCAATATCACGCTGAAGAAATCCAATCAAATCCACATACATCTCAAAACAGCTTCCGAAAAACCTACCCGGCAATGTCTCCACAAACATGATCTCGCAAAGACTCCATAGAAGACCAATCATTTGGAACACTTCACATTGAATAGAATATTCCTCACACACTGCTTCCCCATGCTTTGGATCTATCAAATAGACAAACGATGCGTCAGAATAAAAACACATAATATATGTAATAAAAAAAGAATCTCTGTGGTGAAACATGAAAACCTTAAACAATTAAATTGCCAATTCAAGAGATCAAGTAAGTTATCAATATCAAGTGAAACATATATTTTTATTATGTTATACTTTTAAATTATGTTATATTTTTTTTACTATGCAATACATAAATCTATCAGCCTATTCTCTTTGAAAAATTAATTTAAACAAAGAATATGGAAGCTCTATTATTTATGTATCAGATTGAAAAACAAATACGTTCTTTTTAAAGTATTAAAGGTAGGCTCCGGAGGAAAAACAAATTTTGATATGATGTATAACTGATTTTTCTACGATGCAAAAAGCATATTTGACGAAAAACTACAGAATGGTAATTGAAAGGCAGATTTTTGAATATTTAGAAACTGGGGGATAGTGGCAAATTACCACCTCTTTTCAGCTTTTTACCCCAGTTTTTTAATATTCGAAATCTGTGTCTCATTAACCGTTCCCAAATTTTTTGTCAAATATGCTTTTCGTGTCTCAGAAAAATTAGTTGTAAAACATATCAAAAAATGATTTCCTACACAGCCTGACTATAATGTTTAACAACGTACATAAACCTGCTTAAGAAGCAATTAAAATTTTGATATTAATATAATATTAAAATATATCAGATCAAACATATTCATTATCTATAAAGATAATTATAATTGAATTATTTTGTTATAATCTATACTACATTATATAATCATTATCAAGTGGTCTGGATGATGTATATTCACCTTAAAAGTTTTTAACAAGTTTGTTACAGAATTTAACAATTAGCAATACCTGTTTGGTGAGACTCTATGTAAGATGTCAGGTGGCCTGCGAATTCATTTGCCATCTGTGTGAGCTTCGAAAATGATACAGCACGCGCTAAGACGTAGCACTGCAATCTTACGTAATTCTATTGGTCGCTGATTGAAACGCAGGGAACACCAAGCATAAGAGATAAAGCAATTTTTTTGAGCAACATACCTTGACTTGCTTTACGAAGATTCTGTACGCACGCTGCTATGATAGATCGGTACTTCCTACTGAATTTCACCAAGCTAGGGAGCACAATATAACAGCTTAAATAACAAGTACTTCTATTGTAAAGTATTTATCTGTATTTAACATTTTTGTCTATATTCTGCATTTGCTTATTTTCTGTAAGGGTGGTAGAACAATTACAAGCAATTTTATTTTTCGTTGTATCTTATTTATCTTATTATGATATGTTTCAGTTGTATAATATATATTACTATATTGATAATTCTGATGGAAATACATATTGAATATATTTAGTATTGAGTATGTCTCATAAGCTTAAATATAAAATTTAAAAAAATGCAAATAACATCACTTACTGTGATTTCTTAGCTGTGTCTACTGATTCTGGTTCATATGTCTGTAGTGACTGGAATATGTCTATAACAAAACGCACAAAAACGGAATATAAGTTGTTTATATGTTTTTTAATATAGCACCCTATAATCATCTCTCAGAGGACTATTACACACAAATGTAATGAATACGGAAAGGTAAATTTAATAGTAAAAAGATATTTTTTAGTTGGTCCTTAAACATAGTCAAGGGCATTGATCCTTCAATATTTGGAGCTGGTTCCATAAAAGTGGTGCACGGGCATAAAAATAATGATAGCAATATTTTGTTTTACGGTAGATGTTACAGGTAACACTACATTCTCATCTCATCATCAGCATTGTTATCATCACTATGCGCTAGTTATGCACCTGGTTTTAATAAATATTGGCTACACTGTGTTTCCACTGCAAGCGCTACATTGCATAGCTCTCTTTGAACCAAATATGGAGGGCTTCTCGGGTCCCCCCTCCCCACCACCCAGCAGATCTGCAAGCTTGATAACTGATAAGGAAGCAATTCAGGTGTTATGATAACAGATATGATAATTGAAGCACTAAACCTAGCCCAGATGATCAAATTATATTTATTTTATTTGACAAATGCATGATGACATCCCATCATGACCATATGTATAGGCACATCATGACTACATTTGGCAAAGACGAGCCAAACCAGTCACTCGTCGCAAATCGTGTTTCAGAGAATGGGTAAAACATGCCAGAATGTCAAATTTTTAAAAATCTATTTTATTGCACTAAACTAACATTTATATAATGCTAATGTTGTTATTTTCCCTATTTTTAATTTTTAAACAACACTTTCTTAAGGATTTGATGATAGATTCTGCGTGAGAAATGCCCGAAATCACAAATTTTGAAGGCTGATTTCTCATATATTGTTCTTTAAACAGCTGTATGTTTAAACGCTTTTAAATTCATAAGGAAATGTCGGATTTGAATGTTTTTACCATTTTATAGCGCTTATTTTACTCTTTAATCCAGTATTAATAACTCAAAATTGATTTTTGCGACGAGTGACTGGTTTGGCTTGTCTTTGCCACATATATGGGCATACAACAGTTTTTTTGTCAAAGAAAATCCGATAATCTGGACATGGTTTTATGATGAAATTCCAACATGGCCTAAATATGGTCATGATGGCAACACATCATGACCATATATGGGCACATCATGACCATATATAGGCATATCATGACTATATATGGGCATACAACTTTTTTTCTCCAAGAAAATTTGATAGTCTGGACAGAGTTTTCAGACGAAATTCCAACATGGCTGAAATGTGGTCACGGTGACATCACTTCTTCATGACCATATATAGGCACATAATGACTATTATATGGGCACACCACAGCACTCCAACATGGTTACATTTCCAGCATTCAACTTACTGTATGATTCACTGACTAATTTCCTGGTCTCCGGATTCTGCATGTCCACTTCCCACTTAAAAAAGTGGATCATTGAGGGTGCATTCAGCTGTGATGAGTAAGTACCATGTTCTACCAGAGAGAAAAAAAAAAAGAATCTTTGTAAAATTATTGATAAAGTTTGTAGAGCAACCATTTTAACCACAAAATTTCAACTCCACTAAATGAAAATTTCTGAGTATGTGATATTTCTCACCTTCCTTTTCTATGAAGCATTTCTTTCCTACGCCAGCATGAAGGAGAAGCTGATGGCCTAGTCCCCAGCATGCAGATAAGCCATGCGTTGCTGCATCCTCATCTGGTATACACTGCATCAACAATGTAAAACAAAAAATACAAATTGTCAAGCTCTTTTGATGCTATTGAGTTTTAGTTAGTCGCAGAGTCTTATATCTTTACTCAACTTTAACTTAAGAAAGCATGTTTGTTACAAATCAAATTTCCTTATCCTTACATAGTAGGCCTAGCTAGTGTTAATCATTGTGTAATTATTAAATGGAAAATGCTTTGAAAAAGACAAAATATAAGTTTCTTAAAAATTGCACCTAGCCCTAAATGCCTAGCTGTATGTAGTCAGTAAAAATCATAATGGTAATAATATTTATCATAATAATAGTATTTATCAATCATAATAATCATATAATATAATCATAATCAATATAATATTCTAATTAACAATAATGTGACAATAACCATAACAATCATGACAACAAAATGTCAGTGACACAAATAATCATCCTGATCACATCATGGTCATAATAAAATTCATAAAAAGATAATTAATCATTATCACAATAATCATAAATTATAACAGTGACAAAACCGACAGTGATGAAAATGACAATAATAAAAGCTAATGATCAGATCATAAATAACTGCAATCAATAACCATAATATTCGTAATAATAATACTTATAAACTAATAATTTTAATAAAAATTATTATAATAATCATAATATTAACATCTTTATCAGACTAATCACAACAATAATATTTATAATCATAATTAACAACTAATATTCATAAATATGGAATAATAATCACAATAAACACAATCTTGTAATAATCATAATCACAATATTCATGAATAATTATCAACTTACAGTATCATAATCATAAATAATATTCACAATAACATAATCATGAACATAATCATGTAACAGTTAGTAACAATCATAAGCCCCTTTAAGACAGACCTGCAATACCGCAATATTGTGGTAAACAGGCCGGCATAGCCTAGGTTTCTGTCTGAAAGGCTCAATACGGCAATATGCCGGCTTACTTTAAGGCCGCTTTGCACCCTAGTAATATATTGCCGCAATATTGCTGTAAAGGTTATTGGCTTACTCTGTCTGAAAGGGTCGTCTACTTGATATTGCAGCAATCAAGCCAGTGTGTGCATTTATATGCATAAACAAACAAGGTTTAAGTTGAAAACAATTGCGCAGCGGTATTTAAACTGCCAATATTATATTACGCCAGTAGGAACCTTTTTAGCCAAAAAAGCATTAGATTACCGCAATATTAATATATATTATTGCGGTAACTAAGAGACAAAGAGTAGGCTATGTGGCCCTACATTCTAAGAAGAGCATGACAAGGACCGGGGTGGGCCTAGTCTAGGCTTCCTGTGCAGTGGGCCCTCCTCACAACTCAATCACTCACTCAGTGTCTGCCTGTAGTGTGAATCAGTCAGTCAGCACTGTCTCAGCCTCGCCTAGGCTTTCACTTACTAAAAAATACTAACAAAATGGCCAAACAAAATCTAGAGTTTTGGGTATTGCTAACATTAATATTGAACGAATAATTCCGATAAAATAAACTGTCAAAAAATTTCAAAATAATATCTCAAACTGGAAGATACTCACAAACACAGGTGCTTCTCGCTCGGGATCGTAAGCCGCCATCTTGTTTTTAGACAGCAAATACATTTTTACAGTATGCTAACAGGATTTATTACGAATATTTTGTTCTAAATAAGGCCAAAAATACTACCAGAATGGCACAAAATAAAGTTTAATATTGTATAAAATAATTTAATAAACAATCTAATTATTTTCTTTAAAGTTTAATCGAATCTATTTTGAATATGCTTAAATTTCAGTAGCTTAGGTAGTTTTGTAATGGCGGGTAATTTGTTGGAAAACATTTTTTGGCTCTGTACTAATATTATTTGAGGTTTGTACACAAACAAACACATAGGTGATGTTACTTGATCCATAAATAGATAATTTAGAATGCCATTACATTATATTTATTAATATAAACCTAGCCCTAGACGTTTTACCATAATGTGTTATTACTTCTAGGCCTCCTAGCTTCTGCTAGGCCTAGTGAGGCCTTGCTGAGTCGGTTGGAGATGAGTGAGTGCGAGAGGCGGAGCTGATTGTAGTAATGTAGTCTAGGCCTGGGCCTAAGTTTATGTTTGATAATTTTTTTTATGATTTAATTTTAAAGCTTTCCTTATTTCTAGCCATCCAAAGCAAGATGCTCCCTCACAATGAATTCTTATTTATGGACTAGGCCTAGGCTAGGCTACATGTTTTTTATTTTGCTGTTAGCCTAGGCTAGGCCTAGGCCTACATTTATTTGTTCAATTTACAAATTAAATTTCCCAAGCCTAACTAATTAACATTAATTGGGTATTTTATGTTCAGGATTGATTGATTCATTGACTTTTGAAAGCATGATGAAGGTGTCCAAACTCTCACTAAAAGGAAAATTGTCATTGAAGAGGGGCAAGTCGGATGGCGAGACGAATGTGAAAGACTCTCATGAAGAAATTCAACAGTAAGATATATGATTAATACACAATTAATTTGCCAGCAAGGTGGGCCTGTAGCTTGGTTGGAGGTTAAGATGCTGGTCTTCACCAGTACCAGGTTCCTGGGTTCAAATCCTGTGGAACAGGATTTTTTTTCTCCATGATTAAAAACATGTCCATGTAATTTAAACAAAAATTGGTTTAGAGCATATTAACACAGCTTCTTTACTTTGCCAATTCAGTTCATAGCTCCATATTGTTTTATTAATACTTTCTATTTTTAAAGCAGCCATGAAGATAACTTGCAGACTAGCCTAATGGAGAGCATTGAGCCCCCACCGCCCTATAGTGGCCTGCAGAATCTTGGCAATACTTGCTTCTTCAACAGTGTTGTCCAGGCACTGCGCTACACCCCTGGATTCCAGGAAGGTATCAAGAAGCTAGCACACCTTGTAAGGGACCTGGATGAGCTAGAAGTGGATGAGAATGGCGATGATGACACGCCAGGTGTTACCACTCACATGCGATTTCTTGGACAACTTGATAAGTTGTTCCGCTCAATGCAGAAGGTGGAGGAACACTATCTGGAGGAGTTTGAGATGAGATCCTCTTTATCTGTCTATCCGGAATACCTGCTGAACATCCTCAAGTATGAAAAACTTTGCCCGTAAACCCTTGAATATAGACTCTTTGAGTGAGTGCCGCAGCGCTTATTCAAGAGTACATATTACCCTATGTATAAGGAAACACTTTGAAAAACAGGTTTTTTAAAAAGAATTCGCCACGCCAATGTTTATTTACTTCCCAATTATATAAATTTAAAGCATATATACTGTTTATATTCACCAACAAAATTTTAATTTTATTTTCTCTGTGGATGTTTTTGGCAAATCTATTTGCTAAATAAGAAAACAACATTTTATTTTTATTTTTTACACCCGCCTCTGACGATCTATAAAAAATAAGTTTGCAAAACAAGATATAGAAAAAGTCTTTCCTTATGATCGAGTATGATTTAGTCACTTTTAATCCATTTGAAAGCAAACGCTTAGCCATTGGCTGCTATATAAAAATGTTTTTTTTTTTATGTTTACACACCAAAATATATATAATTATAATATTTTTTTGTTTGTGTTTGTTAAGGAAAATAAAACCAATGTTTGAAGGCTTCCTCCAACATGATGCACAAGAGCTTCTCTGCTGCTTCCTTAGTATCGTCCAAGATGGCTGCCACGAGTTAGAATCAAGACTCAAAGACAAATCTAGTAACACAGAAAGTCTAACAAGCAGAATTTCACTACAGGCAGATTGTTCGCCAAAGGGCAGGCTACTGGGAGGGAAGAAGCCCGTAAAAAATGAACCCAGTAGTGGATCGGAGCATCTTCCAAGGCCTAGCAGTAGCTCTGTCACTAGAAAGATTCAACTGGGGAAAGGAAATGGCGAATTTGTATCGCATGCTGGCGAGAATGCTGAAAGACAAGTGAAGAAAAAAACACTTGGTATACGAAGGTTCAAAAGACCGGCCAATCAGACAACCATATCTATGTTTGGCGTCACACCCGAAAACAGCATAGCACAGAATGGTGTGGAAGCTATGGATACTGTATGTAATGCTGCCAAGAAAATTAAAGTCGAACCAGACGATAATACATCAACATTAGGTTCTAAAACCAAACGTAGAAAGAGTAATGCTAAGGTGAAAAATGAACAAGCAAAGGAAAATAAACATGAATTGGAGGTTAGAACTGAAGAAAATAAATTAGAAACACAAGGACTGAATGAGATGTGTGATTTAGAACACACAAAAGCATCAACATCCGTGATGGAGGTTATGGATGCACCACCATCTGAAACTGTGTCAATGGGAAATGATGCTTCTTGCCCTTCTGCATCAGATACCAATCACCTACGCTTGGTTGAGCGTCTCTTCCAAGGGCTGGTTGTCATGAGAACACGATGCAGTGAATGTGAAAACTTCAATGAGCGTACAGAAGACTTTCAGGAAGTTGGTCTACCTGTGCAGAAGATGTCTGATGGAGGTGCCAGTCAATCAAATGGTGAGATTGCTTTCTATGGGGTTGGGGTGGTGGTGGTCAGCCTTCAAACCTAGGGTCATGGGTCAAAATTATCACCTTAAGATATCATTGTTTCAAAATAAGATTTTAGAACACAAATACCTGTTATTGGTGAGTCTTATTTTAAAATATTCATTACAATATGGGGAGCGAGGTATGAAGTGGGGTAGACTGGGACGGATGCAGGGGGTGAAAATTGTATTAAGAAAAATTATGTTGATATGAATTACGGTAATATTTTAAAATTTTTGGGCAACTAGAGGTCCATATTCTCCAAACGTTTGCACCTCAGCCCCAACCATGGTGGGGCTTAGGTGTTGTGGACTCGCACACACCCCCTACCACCAAATTCTTCTGCATCCACCCCAGGTAAAGAGGACTTGGGATGGAATGCAAGTACATTAATGAATTCTGCCGTATTTGGCTCAATGTGCAAACCACTCATCTGTATCTTAAAGCCATCACTTGAACACTGATTATTCTTGCAGATCCTGACTTAACACCTGCTAACTTGTCTCTAAGCTGGGCCTTGGCAGAGTACACCTGCACTGAGCGGCTGACTGACAAGAACAAGTACTTCTGTGAGCGTTGCATGCATCACAGCGAAGCTGAGCGCTCGGTCTTATTCCACAAACTGCCATCAGTTTTAATATTCCACCTCAAGAGATTCTCAACCATCTTTTCTGGGTAAGTGTTCTAAGGAGGAGGAAGGTGGGTTCATCACCAAAAATTGACATCTGGAGAAATAAATTTGTTAACTTTCAGACACTCAGTAGAACAGTCTACTTACAAGTATCAAAAGCAGGAATAATTACATCACATTAAATATTACATCGCTATATAAAACTACATTATTCTTAAATAATTATCTTCAATTATTTGTTTTTTACAGTATAAATATTTTTCTACATTATTATACCTTTTAGGTTTTATCCAGAAGGTTCCGTGTCAAAAGTCAATACACACCTTGCAACCCCATTGACCCTCATGCTGACCCCATGGTGCAGTACTGAATGTGAGCAGCGCCACCAGCAGTATGAACTCTATGCAATCGTGATGCACAGTGGTGTCACTAGTTCGAGTGGACATTACGTATGCTATGCTCAGGTACCCACATACAGTCTGAAACCCGTGGGGAGAGAAGACGATGAGCAGCCAGGCACGGTCAAGCCTAATAAATCAAAGTGGGCTAGATTTGACGACGACATGGTAGAGGTTTTGTCCGAAGAAGATATGCTGGCTATTCTTTGTCCCATAACCACCGTCAGCCACACTTCAACTCCTTATCTACTTTTTTATCGAGAAGTTACTACATGACACCTTGTACAGTATTTAAGCTATCCATAGACCATTTAGTAATGCAGGTATCTAGGAATAAATTAATTCCTATTAAATGTTGGTTTCAAAAATGAAATATTAATTTAAATTTTTATATTTTAGAAAGATTGATTATAGTATTAAATATATGATTCCAGTATAGTCAATTCTGTACGAGTGGTATTTTTGTATACTGTATTAATAAATGATAATAAAAAAGTGTGTTTTTATTTCATTATTCAAGTAATCTCACCTTGGTGATCATTATTGTTGAGCATGTGGTCAAGTATTACTCTCATACATATTTTTTTTAAATTCCACATCAAATTAAAGACAATCAGGACCATTTTCAGATTTTCCTGTCCAGTTTTAAATTCCACAGCTGTACCTGCAATTTTTAGCAACCCATATCTTGCATTCTTTCAGATGAGATGTTTAAGCCGTTGTTTCCGTGTGCATTTATGGCTCATGTGCACGTTAAAGAACGCGGTACACTCTTTGGAAAAGAGTAGGGGATTGTCTCCCGGTGTACTGCGAAATTATCACCAGAAGGTCCCCACTACTTTCATGGGCTATCCTTGATGTTCACACCGAATAAATCTAATCCAATCACACACCACCACCTTGAATCAAACATCAAAGTTATGATGAACCCTGGCTCTCACGATTGTAATCTTTGATTAAAGCTCTATTAGGTAGCAAGTCCTCAATGATATATCCCCGAGCCCTGGCTTTAGCCAGTTATTGGGGGGGGGGGGTCAATATGAAGTTTTCAAACATGCACTCACGGTCACGTGTTTGCCTAGTTCTTTCAATTATTTTTCTGAGTGAATTGTGTCCTTTGTACCATGTTGTGCTTTTTTTAATTGTTTTGAAAATATACTTGTAGTGCTCGTAATTTCCTTGGTGATTAATGCTGTAAAACAAGACTTGGTGTGCGCACTATAAACGCCCATACCAGTACCAGTTTAAATAAATAGGCATAATTCAAAATTCCATTAAAAAAAAGTTTTATAAAACTACATTATAATATATTTATTCAATTTTCCCCCAATATTCTGTACAAGTTTTCAATACTGAGGGAAGGGAATTGTACAGTATTTGCATTCAAGAAGATGACTGACAACAATGTATCAAAAAGTCAGGGTTGTATCACACCACATTGGTATTGTGCGTATCAAAAAATTCTGGTTATACAGCTAGATTAAAGCAAAAGCCATACTTTAACGTAGTGGTTCTGCTTTCAAATAAATTAGCCTTTAGCTATCGGTAAATTTCCCGTCGATTTATAATCTGGCATACCTGGGGAGGGAAAACTTGATTTCCTGTGCCATAACAAGACATCCATTCATAGAAGCCTTTATGAAGAAAGCCTAATTGGCATGAGACCAGCTAACTTTGGCTTTGAACACATAGGAAGATTGAATTTTGTTAAACTGATTATACAATGCACACGATATTTACAGCCTAAGTTTGAGTATACAGGGCTCCCTCCAATTAAAGACCACTTTTAGAGTTTGTAAGGTCTTTAGCATGTTTGGTCTCTAATTAGAATAATAAAGATGAAAGACATTTGTGGCACAGACAAGCCAAACCAGTCACTCGTCGCAAATCATGTTTCAGAGAAAATGGCCAAAACATGCTGGAATGTCAATTTTTTAAAAATCTATTTTATTGCACTAAACTAACTTTTATGTATCTACACACCATCCTATGCTGTTATTTTCCCCATTTTCAATATTAAAACAACACTTTTTTAAGGATTTAAAGCTAGTTTCTGCATGCGAAATGCCTGAAATCATAAACTTTGAAGGCTGATTTCTCATATATTATTCTTTAAACAGCTGTGTGGTTAAACGCTTGTAACTTCATACGGAAATGTCCGATTTGAATGATTTTTTTTACCATTTTATAGCTATTATTTTAACTCTATTAATAACTCAAAATCGATTTTTGCGACGAGTGACTGGTTTGTCTTGTCTTTGCCACATTTGCAAATTTGGGACCACAGAAAAGTGGTCTTTAATTAAAGGAAGACCTGTGTTATCAATAATTAATGAAAACAAAGGAGATAACCTATAAACAAAAACAAAAAAAGAGTAGCAGAGATAATAGAGATTTATGCACTTAAACGTGTCACAAAATGCAAGTTTATTATGATTGTGGTTCCGTACTGTTATTTTTTTTATCTACCATCCACTGTTGTGGATAGAAATTGTACATAATAAGTAATTGAGTTTAATACAATATACAGTATAAAATTAAAAATAATAGCAATATTCTAAATAAATTTGAAAATAGCAAATAAAGCTATGAAAATCTAATAGTAAAAATTAAAAAAGCATGAAACAATTTTAGTTTATATAGATATTATCTATTTAGAATACCAAAAAAATAAATACATACAGTAATGTATATTAATATCTTATAGTATTATTATCTTATAGTAATACATTGTTATTTGCCAAAAACAAAATATCCTAACAATCATATTTACAGTACAGTATTAAAAAAAAAAAAAAAAACAGCTGAAAATTCACTCTCACTGCTTTCAAGTTTCCCGGGAGTTGTCACTTGAGTTTCCTGAAATTCGGGACAGTCTTTCCACAATCTCGTTAGCGAACAAAAATCTCCCGAAAAATAAACAATCGCCCGCAAAATCATGTTTTTACTACTGTTTTCTAAATTGTCTCGCAATAAAATTAATCATGTTACAAACGTTCATTTAAACCAGAGCGACCGAAAGGGATTGCTTCCAACTTGAAATCCCTGGAATCTTGTGCTTGGTGGCATTCGCTAACTCATATACTGTAGCAGCTGGTCACAAATGCTGATAGCATTACTCAATTTCATGGCGGTTATAAGCATCAGAGTATTTTTTGTCACTGCGTGAACTGTACATTAAATAATTAATACCAAAAATTATGTGGTACTGTACTGTTTAATGAAGATGCATGTTTTTGAAATGGGAGTTACTCAAAATAGGGTCTGCTGGGGCGGATGCAGGGGGTGTAGCAGACAATGTGATCGCACACCCCTAAATAGTATTACGAAAAAAATATTGTATTGTTGATATGAAAATAAATGAAATTATATCTACTATGAGAGTGCAATTTTCTAACTTCAGCCCCAACCTGTGAGGCTGAGGTAGTGTGGACTCTCATATACTCCACTACACACACCCCTTACCACCAAATCCTGCATTTGCCCCAGGTCTGCATAACCTCGTGGCTAAGGTATTAATATACTTAAACATTATTAGCTCAACAAAGGCTTTATTTGTATTTGACATTGGAAGCCTAACTGATCATCACTTCTCAATTGCATCCTCATCCGCCATTTCAACATCACACGGTTCCTCCACTATGTCACTATCAAAGGTCAAAGGTTGACATTCCATAGTTCGAAGGTTAAGCAGTACACATGTATGGGTAGAGTGGAATTCTGGGATACATATCAGCGTAATCTTCTTGCCTAAAGAATCTGAAAAATGAAAGCATTTTTTTAATAATTTAATTAAAGTTGTCCTGTACCACTTTGTTGAAGATAACCTTTAAGTTTTTCTTGTAAACAATCTTTGTTCTTTGCAACCACATTATAAATTCATAAAAATACACGACGTGGTGTTTTAGCTATTTTTTTTTATCTATATTCCACTCAAAATTCCGAGCCTATTGAATTAGAAGAGGCTTGCAGCTATATGGGACTTGCCTTGTCAAACCAGAATCAGTCAACAAAACAAGAAAATTGACTTTTTAATATATTCATTATAACGTTTTAGAATATGAAATTTACAGGAATTGACATACTATTGCTAAAGTTAGGAATACAAATATTACAGCTTCTCTGTATTAGAGTATACAATAGATCACATTCTTATGCTAATTACTTATTTTAACATTTAGCAACATACATTGGTTTTGGGATGGCCAGCCTCATAATAAGAATTAATAATAAAAAAAAAATGATTGCTGTTCTTACCTGTTAATCTTTTGGTTTGAAACTTTGGCTGGTTTCCAGCGAAATAGACATGGGGGCAGGTGGTACAGATAAAAGGGTCATTGTTGAAATATGGATAACAACCTGAAAACACATGAAATTAACAACCTAAAGACTCGTTGACACTGGATTAAACTTAAAGACGGGTTCACACTTGATTAATTTTGGCCTTTATTTAACTTTACATTGGTCGCATCCATACTGAATTTAACTACAGACGCATTCAGATGCGATTTATTTTCACCTTTATTAAATTAGGTAACTTTACCTTGGTCTACTTGATTTAAATACAAAGTATATTTTTCTTAGCATGTGGGTTAATAGCAGCTAGTAGTAATTTTCTGCATTTGTGCGCATGTGCATCTTTGCATACATTCTGTAAAAAGCTTAACTATGTGTAGCTTAGAAAAAATTACAATATCCTAATGCCACTGTTTACACTGGATTTTTCTTGCGAAAATGAGCTTGGTTTCTCATTCTGGACTACATTCCCTTTGTTAAACTGACATGCAGCCAGTGGCGTGTCTAGGGGGCAGCCAGTGACGTATCTAGGGGGTCCCCCAGTCCCCCCAAACCATAAAGTCACAGTCAATTATTTAAAAATCACCTAAAATTACCTTATTTTGTGAATTAGGACCCCTCAACTGATCATCGAGCCCCCAATTTACCTTCGCGCGCCCCACCCATCATCACCCTTATTTCAAGACTTCTAGATTCTCCCAGAAGTCGGTGCCAATGAGTATTACCGTGTACAGCAAAATATGATCAGATGTGTTAAGGACGCTCACTTAAACAGATCTCCCGGATGTGGATTCCTTCAACAACACCTGAATTAGGTCAACCAAAATTAGTACAAGTAGACTTAAGACAAACTGCAAAATATCGCCACACATAAATCATGTACTAACCTAACAAATCAGGTGCAGTTGGCGCCATATGTCCAGCTCTTAGCGTCGTTTCTAGGATCTCCATTCGGTCATCTATCGTCGTGATGCGGTAAATACTATCAACATTCTGCCCCGAAGTACCCGAGAATCTATAAAAGAAAAAAATACAATGTATTGATACAACAAAGCTGACTCTGATTACAGCATACCATTGTAGTCTGTAATGGCTACTACAGAAAGAGGATAAAATAAAGAATTAAATTAACAAAGTAAGAGTCTGCATTGGCCAGGTTATTTATTTGACTTGATATGTTTTATGTTTAACAAATGAAAAATAACATACAAAACCAAGAGTCACAGATTCCAAAGTTATGATATCTGCGATAACCCTTTAAAATACAGGATTTACTTCTAGAGGGGTTGCAATCTGGTTTGGCATCTCGGTTTGATAATCAGCAGTCAAGTTATGAATTCTTTAACCTATATTGTTTATTTTTTTCATTCATCGATGATGTGTACAGTAAGACGTTCATTTTACGTAACCCTTGGTACCGAGAAATGTTCATAAGTTGAAAAATTTGTAAACTAGATCGGGCGTCAGTTTCCAATACCTAGGCATCCCCTGCCATTGAGCACCAATTGGCTGACGTCATCCAGGCCAAGCACGACCAGACAGTGCAGCACTGTGGTCTACCGTGCTAGAGCCTAGCTGAATTTTCCTTCGATAAAAAACAAATTATTGTAATTGCTGACATTCTTCCACTTAAAAAACATTAACTCTTATTCAAGCACCTGTATGTTTTTTATGGACCTTTCTATCATGTTTTGTTGACATGCATTTCGCGATCATATCTAGCATTCAAGATGTCTCCAACACTCTCGGTCGCCATTGTAAACATGTGCGCTCAATCCGACGAAACTTGCGTTAGTAGTTCGTTGTTGTGGTTAGGATTACTACATTGTATGTAGCACACTTTAATAAAAAAATTGAATTTTTAAATTATTATTACATTAATATACTAATTGTAATACCAGAAATGGAAGAAAATATCGAACTATTAATAAATAAATACAACAAACTCGATTTTACTTAGAAAAATACACATTATCACTTTGTAAAGCATGCGCAATCAGACTTTTTTTATGGTAATAATTGGTCGATGAAGACGTCATCATGGGCAAAGACCATTCGTACAATGGACGTTTTACTGTACTACTGTAAATAGAAAACCCCTACCTAAAACTGCCTATTGATGCCTCATAAGGATTGGTTACCAGGTTTAAAGATGAGTAGACTTTCGCGCGAGGGAACATACACCGGTGAAGGGGCTGTTGGGGGAGGGTGAAGTTAGCAGGGTCCTGCTCCCCTGGCATTACATCAACTGGTATAGAAACTAGTGAGAGACAATGTGCTGTCTCTTATACACATCTAGATGTGTATAAGAGACAGTATATATATTGCGCAAATTCCATTAAAAAATATGTTGAAATGTACATTACAGTAAAATAGAGAAGAATACAAATTTATAATATAACAGAGATTGTTACAGTTATGGGAAGCTAAAATTCTTATAGCATATTGAAAAATCTACCATATTGCATCACAATAAAAGTTAAACAAGGCAGGCAAAACAATTCTGCCTGCTCAAAAAAATGTGAAAATAATGGTGAAAGTAAAATGATTTCCTTTTAATATGAACTACAGACAACACTAAAGTACAAATGTGGTGGGCTTGGATAAAGAGTTATTCAATAATTATTACTATACAGAATAAAGTATTGAGTTGGTCATAACTTCAAACGAATTTCTCCAGGATTTTATTCAAGAAGGAATGGAAAACCTAAATCTCACAGCCAAAGAGATGTTCGGATACAATAAAAGTAATCAAACTGGGCATTCATTTCATATCTTTAACTTACCACCAGTTGTGCCAAAATATCATCCAGGTTCTTGACTGCAGCACTGCTGATTGGAGATGTATTCCTAGTCAAGTACTTGGCCTATAAATACAATTTAATAAGGATAATATTCAATTCCAATTGCTTTTTGCATCAGGAGAAATGATACGAAAATGATGTTTCTGACGTATTATAAATACTGAATGCTCAGTACATTCCCATATACTTGCGAAAAAAATCTTGCAAGTGATTGGGGTGGGAACTGAACCTATGACCTCCAGGTAACTAGCCTGATGTCTTAACCACTAGACCACCGAGCTTGAGCTCGGTGGCTAGTGATGAACCCGGCGGGTACTGCAATGCTATTCCAATGGCGTTTTTCATCAGGAGAAATGATACAAAATGATGTTTGCCCTACCTGACGTGTTATAAGTACTGAATGCTCAGTACATTCCAAAATACTTGCTAAAAAAATCATGAAGTGAATAAATTAAATTCAACAACACCAACTAATAATGGCCTGAGAAATAAATTGGTAGAGACAAAAATAGACTTACCAGAGGACAACTGGAAATGCTCTACACTACAAAACACGATATCATGGGGGAATTTAACGGCTGCATGTAAGATGAGGACACACAGCAAACTCCCTATTTTCCCAGAAAGTGGGGGGGGGGGACCCCAAGAGGATTAAGTGACATAAAACAGACTGACACCAATTCTATTTTAACTTAAACTAGTTCTAGTTTGAGCAACGAATGACACCATATAAATGGAACTATTGATTAATAGTCCCGAAATCAACGATTTACATTCATGAAAATAGTTAACTTGTTAATTACAGTGATAATGAAGATAGTAATAATAAAGGTAGTAATGAGATAATGGAGATAATGATGATAATAATTACTGAAACAAAATTTCGTTCATGGCGGAAACTGTAATCTCTTACCATTGTCATAGCGCCTTTATCCTGATTTTTAACGCTTAGACTGTTACCGGCAATGATGACTCGCACAATGTTTGCAGTCATCTTCTGATCATCAACATCACCTAAGTTACCAGTTACCATGTCAACCATCATCTGTAGATTCATTAGGTGTTGACCTGTTTGGCCAACTCCTAGTCCAGACGCCAGCAGTACAAACCTTGAAAGCAAAAAAAAATAAAAATAAAACAAAATAAACGAAACAAAAAAACAAAAAAAACATATTATACTATTAATGTATATTGTACTTTACTCTCTTCAATTTACAAGATAAGCAGCTTAGCTCAGTTGGCTAAACTAGTGACAGACACTGTGTGTGCGCTAAATTCTCCCCCCCCCCACCCACCGCTGCTATCCTTGTGTTTCAGCAGGAGGGCGAAATGCAAGTTACGATGGCGCACCGTCTTTCAGATGAGACGTTTAAGCCATTGGTATGTGTGCATTATGACCATGAGCATGTTAAGCACGCAGGACACTCTTTCGAAAAAGAGTAGGGGATTGACTCCTGATGTACTGACCAATCACCACCAAAAGGACCAACTGCAAATACTGTAAGTTTTCTTCAGAGTTTCGTGGGTTATACTTAATAAGCTTATCCATCCATTATATTTCTGAAAAGTCTAAAAGCCAGTGAAAAACTGTTGTTAAACTGTAAGTGTGAAGTTTATAGTTTATTGGACACCTTTCACCTTAGAAAGTTAACAAAAATATAAGTAGAAATATAATTTAAGTTTACCTGTCCTGTTCCGGTGGTGCAGCAGGTATCTGTGCTGGTAAGTCAACAAATGAGTACTCCTCCACCTCAAACTTACTTGAGTCGCCTTCTTTTCCTAAAACAGCTACAACTGTTCCTACAACAACAACAAAATACATCACATGTTAGTAAGGCTTAATTTTTTTTCATCACATCATGTGATAAATATACACATAAAAATAATGATGTTGATATGGTGAATACACTTCATTAAAAATCGTTCATCTCCTAACAGACACCCACTTGGCTCCCCATTTCAAAATCATTCATCTCCTACCAGACATCCACTTGGCTCTCCATTAGAAAATCTGACTTTATTCTAAGGAAATGTAATACTTATAAACTAACAAAATGATGTAAAATTATGAGAACCAGCACACTTATTTAAGAATGTATTTAACAATGTACCATATCCATTCATAATTTTCATAAAATTAATTTCCTACCAAATTCATCTTTACCAATTTGCATTTCATAAATTTAAACATTGAGATTAGGTTCATTTTCTTGTTATTTATTGTTGTTTAAACCATGTTCTTTTCATTTTATGTCCAATATCAGTCACAGTTTAACTGGAAAGCTACAAGGACGAAATTCTGAAATACAATTTGATTTAATTTTGATTTAATACAGATTGAAACACAGACTTAGCCCACTGATCTTTGCTTTTACAAGCATTTGAACAGCTAAGGTTTACGATGATATGCACTATGATAATTACACTGTGCTAAGCGCAGCTGTAAGGAGGTAAGGTCTAAATACAGACAGATATTAATAGACTGACATGATTTTGTTCTTTCCTTATCATATGACTAATTCTCACCTATGATTGCTTTGGAGACATCAATGTTGTCGACCAATGATATCCTCTGTAAATCATCTTCTAGAATGAGTGTGTCTTTGTCGCTAATATACTTCTCTCTCACAGGCTGCGGCATTAAATTATGCTGCAATTTATAAGAAAATTAGATAAATTATGATACTGTAGAAACATTGTGAACGGCATTGATCATAATATTTATTTAGCAGAGTACCTAGTTGTGGTAGACCTGTATTTATAGAACAACCTCTCCCCACCAAACTGCAATTTTAGGACAAATTTATCTCTAAGATGACCAAACACTTTGTAAATTTTATAATGAATAGTAGAATGAATACAAAAACTTGAGAGTATAAAACACTACTTATGACAATCCTACTACCTTTCCTTGCCAATTAATTCACACACTATCATTGGGTCGTTTCAAAACAATAACATTTCGCCTTCATGTTCACTCTACACCCACGCTTCCCAAACTACGGGTCGCAACCCAAAAATGGGTCGCCAAACTTTTGTGTTGGGTCGCGAGTAGGTTTGCAAAAAATAATTCAATTTATGTGCGGTTTTTCAAACAGTTGTGAACTTTAACAATTCTGAAAACTTAAAAACAGAATTTTTAGGTGAATCCTCATGAGAACAAAGTATCCAAGTGCCATTTTTGGGCATCTATACCATATGTAAAATTTACTCATCTGCGTCCTAAATGCATGGTAGGCGCTCTGGAGAATATCATAAATTTTGTACTATTCAAGTGCTATATTCGGGTATCTGTAAGTGTAAAATTCTTTAAATTATATGATATGGTAGTTTTTTAAATTGAAATTTAAGTGCCATTTTTGGACACCTATTAAATTAATTCATGTTCTTTTTTTTTTTGTTTGTTTGTTTTGTTTATTGTTTTTCCGCACATAAGAGGTAGTAAACTTAAGTTGAAAAATACAATATATTAATAGGTTATAAATTTTTAAAAAGTGGATTGAGAAGGAGAAGGGTGGGAGGGGGGAAATAAATAAATAAATAAAAGTGTGTGGAAAGAAATCAAAATAAGTTTAAAAACAGCATGGTCACCGGTTAAAATCAGAGTTACTGAAAGAAACAAAATATAAAATAAAAAAAGTCTATTATATTTTTGTTTCAAATATCAAAAGTTGTTTCATTTTCCAGTGGCAGATTCAAGGCTTCCCCACCCCCCAACAATTGAATAATAGATGTATTTATATACTAGAATTGAATTATAAAATGATAATTTCATTTACAAAATGATTTTAAAGTAACATGATAATTAAGTTTGTACCAACTTATAATTACCAACATGTCTCATTGTTACATGTCAATGTAACAATGAGACATTGTTACATGTCAATGTGTAGAATTTCTGCATTGGAAATGGCTTGCTACACTTTGTAGGTGGCCTATAATTATGATCTGATGCTTTGATTAGGACTTATTAACTGACAGTGATATTGTTGATAGCACAGTATGGACCATGTGCCATTAGAGAGTTGCTGTGATCTCGCTTACCAAACCAAGTAACAAACATTAAGTGTTGGCATAATGGCTTTATTGAATTTACTATTTATAGTGGTCATTAACATGGACATTTAGGCTACAGTGAAAGAAATTTTGCATTGCATACACTTGTAATGCTAATAGATTCTTTATTAAGTGGCTCTTATTGTGGTTCTTAATGAACCACATGGAAGTTGACGATAAATTTGGATTGAGATAGTTAATGCTGTGGTATTTTCATGTTAATTATTTGGCCCTTGTGACATGATAATGATGATAATACTGATGATGGTCATGAGAATCATAAAAAATAATGATGGTAATAATGATGATAACGGTAATGAGAATAATGGTAATGAATGAGAATAATGGTAATGAATTAATGAATAATGGTAATGAGAATAATGGTAATGAGAATAATGGTAATGAAAATAATGATGATAATGGTAATGAGAATCAAGAAAAATTATGATGATGATGATATGAGGATGAACACTAAGACAGATAAATTAAAGATATTTATGATTCTTTATAATTTGTTCACAATAATTTTATTTTGCCTGTAAAAATATAAACAACTAGGCCTATTCATACAAAAATAAGGTATGAAAAGGACAAATCAAAACCCCCATTTTTTTTTCTTAACTTTTCTTAATATTTTTAAACATGACCATTTGAAACTCATTTGGATTATACTGCATTACTGCTATTATAACAACAACGATAGTAACCTAACTATTATAACAATATTAAGTAAATATTGTATCGTTGTCAATACAGGTTACTATTTACCAAGTTTATCAATCAATTCATTTTAAAGAGAGAACATCTCTTTCTCAAAAGCATGGATAACAAATAATGTTAATAAAAAATACATCAAAAAATATAAAGTGCTATATAGTTGGATATATAGGATAGTAGCTTAGATTTGTTTGGGTCATGATTTGTGTTTGAGAACCATTTTTATTTAGAACATTGTCTATGAACACTGTGAGTCATAAGGGAATTTCCACCAGTACTGTATCACAGTAGAGTACAGTAGAACATGATTATGTGGTGCATGGATGTCATTTTTCAACTGTTTAAAATGAATTTAGCCTTCTAGGTATTCCAGGTTTGTTTTTATTGAATGTACTTGATTGATAACTGTGTGGATGATGATCTAATTGAGCACGATAGCATGTCTCTGAAGCTCCTAATGGACTTGTCTAGATCTACATGTACACCGGGCCCAAAAGGCCTACCCATTTGTCTATTGTCAACGCCTATTATAATTGTGATATTTTCATCGAGTTCTATAATTTCTATGGCACTAATGTATAGTTTTCAAGAATATACATTTACCTTAAATAAATGATGCACAGTCCCAAATAATTCTTTTTGAAACCATATTAGAATGTAAAAATGCTTATGGGTAGGAACTACAGTATGAAACATATGTTTAATACAATATTGTAAGTTCAATAATAATAATATCACTTGTTTAACTTAATGAGATCATATCACAACATTCATTATTTGCATGTCGGTACTCTGTATAGATGTTAGATTTTCATAAATTGGATTTTCTTTTTGGCCACATAACTCATTTCAAATACATGTTGTTAGCAATAAGTAAAAATCAATACATTTTGGTATCTTGCTTTGGCCTTGACATGATTCAATGTACAATTCATATTTATCTTATCTTATCTTAATTTCAGTAAACACTGACATTCTACTGATCACACTTCTGGTATCAACTCCGAACAGTTACACTTGAATCAAGGTAAGATGACTTGATATTACAGTAGCACCCCTCCTTTGGGACACTTCAATTCAGGGGACACCACAAAAAGGAAACTATTCAATTAAACGAGAAAAATTTATCTTTTAACTCTATGGCCAAACCCTATTAAGGGAAACTCTTATTAAATGGGATAGGGAGATTTCCTAAGTGTGCAAAATGGTCTAATCGCTACTAGATGGGTGGCCATCAGATTGAAAGCCCTTTTTTGGATTCGAGTGCCAAATTCTGACCAAACAATTGCAAATTTTGCACGTTTTTACCCAAAAATCGTATTTTGAAGCTAGTCCATTACTGGAAAATTCAATTTGAATATATTTGGTGTCACACTAGATAGTAAAAATTATCTATCAAATCATGTGTATGATAACATTATGCTAATGGCATTACCCAAAATTTACCAAAAAACTTATTTTTTATAACTTTTTTACACAAAATAAAACGCCTATAAAAATTTCAGACATTTTTCATTTGTATTTTAGAGTTATAATATGTCTAAGGATCTCCTGCAAAAATGGCAAATTTTACACTTTTTTTTACTTCAAAATGGCATTTTCAGAGCTAAATAATACTAGAAGATTCAATTTGAATATATTTGGCATCATACTAAAGATATTAAATCAAATTATGTAGGTATATGATGACAACATTATGTTAATGCTGTGACCCAAAAATTACCAGATAATATTTTTTAGGTTTTTTTGTGTTAAATTAAACAATACATGTTATTATGACAAATACTAAGCTAACAACCTTTTTGTCTCATAATTCTATCATAAAAAAGTTCTCATCAATAAGCCTTGTCTCACACAGAATGGACCTTTTCCAGGCTTAATTTTGGTTTTTAGTGCCAAATTTTACAAAAAAATGGCAAATTTTACGTTTTTACTCAAAAACAGCATTTTATTAGTCTGTTACAGAAAGATTTGAATATATTTTGTATTATATGAAAGCTATTAACATTAACTAAGCAATGTATGGCTATACACTATACTTATTTCAATGACCCAAAACTTACAAAAAAAATGACATTAAAACAACATATTTTTTATGATTTCCTTGGCTACATTTAATGCTTAAAAATACAATTTTTTGGGGTAAAAACATGTAAAATTTGCCATTTTTTGGTCAAATTTTGCATTCACATCATGTAAAAAGGAAAGCAATATAACTATTAATACTCATAAAAAAGGACTGCAATATTTACTACTGTATCTATGTAATTGTCTTTACAGATGTCTCAGTATGTATCCAAAGCTTTGCAGTTTATGGATAAAAAAGATCTTGAGTGTGCCATCTGCCTCAGCAGGTTTCACCAACCAAAGACACTGAAATGCATGCACACCTATTGTCTACAGTGTATCCAGAAATGGGTGGAAACTCATGGAAAGATGAAATGCCCCACATGTGCACAAGAACATGACCTAACAAGGTATGACTTAAAAGAGCTTACTTCAAATACAATGATAAGTCAACTACTAGAGTATGTCATAAAAACTGAGGATCAAAAACCAACTAAATGTACTTGCTGCAACACTAATCAACCTGAATACCACTGCCAGACATGTCAACTGTATCTATGTGGAGCTCCATGTATCAAACAACACCAGATAATACCTGCATTGAGAAACCATTCACTTTATACACTAGACAAGAAGGAACATGAGGGCAGTTCAGACAAATGCAAAGTTCATTGCAACAACACATTGGAATTCTTCTGCTCCACTTGCAACAGATCAGCATGTAAGCATTGTGAACACATTCTTCGCTGTTATCAGAAAGAACATAAAGTGATTCCAATGTCAACTGCTATAATTGAGTTTAACAACGATGCCACTGAAATTGTCAAGTTAGCGCATGAAATTGAAAATAAGTTAAAAAGAAAACTAGAATTCATAACTAAAGATAGTTCTGAATTTGATTCTCAACTAAACTTTTGCAGAACAGCCATCAAAATTCAGAAAAAGAAACTTATTACAACAGTTACGGAAAAAAGCAGAGAGTTGATTTCAAAACTTGAAGAGAGATATAGAGAAAAAAAAGAAGACACTGACAGTAAAGTTCAAGATACTGATTCAAAAATGACTCAAGTAAATAATCTGATAGTCTCAGTAAATACAATTATTAACAAACCAGAAGAAAAAGACATTCTTGAATCCCATAAGACAACTATCAACACTGTCAGAGACAAGGTCCTAGGAAAAGAATTTTTTCAAAGGAAAGTTATTACACCACACTTCATTCCATCTACACACTTGGATGAGTCGATTGTTGCAGAGGGCGTTGGTAAAATCACAACTTTTGACAGCATGTACAGTGTAGCTAAAGATGATGAATTTATTAATGTCATAAAAGAACAACCATTTGTAGTTAAAATTTCAAGTCTAATAGATAGCGATGCTTGTCAATTAACTGCTGTACTAATCAACCAATCAGGTGAAGAATCAGCAACAGAGACAGAATATATCAACAGTAGAGAGTACAAAATAACAGGTAGATGCAACGTGGAAGGTGATTGGCAAATGAAAATAACTTCTGGAGTTGCTGCACCCATCAAAGGATCTCCAGTGAATATCAAGGTGGAATCACTGGGACTTGTACATACCATTGGTAACATAGCAGATTATAAAGAACATATGAAAAGAAATAAAGTGACAGATGTAGTGTTAGATACAGATGGTCATATATTAGTATCAAGCTATAGTAAAGATATAATAAAGTTCAATCAATCAGGTTTATTTGTTGCTAGGGTACAGGTGCCACAAGATGTGATGATCAATAAAATGCATCCAATGGATGACGGTCACATCGTGTATAGTGACTACATAGGGAAATGTGTTGTAATGTGTGATGACCAATTTGAAGAAATCACCACATTTGGTAAAGGAATATTGAAATACCCAGAGGGCTTGACAGTAAATATGAAAACTAGAGTCTTGTATGTAGCAGATCGTGAGGCTCACTGCGTGTTTAAATTTAATGTTGATGATGGTAGACTGCTGGGTAAGATAGGTTCAGAAGATTGTAAATTTGGTGGCCCATATAATGTAACTATTACGAAGGAAGATTATGTGATTGTTGCTGACGTTAAAAATAACGCAATACAAATGTTTGATGCAAATGAGGAGTTAAAAAAAATCCTTACAGGTTATGGTATTAACGACGGTCATGTATGGGGTCCTAGCGACGTAACCATGGATATGGATGAAAATATAATAATATCAAGTAATCATAAACTACAATTATTTGATAAATATGGTGTTTTCATAAAAGAATAGATCATAAAGATGATGGATTAGACACCCCTTCAGGAATTGCTGTAATCTCCAATAGACCAAGAAGAGTAGCAGTAGCAAACCACAACGCCAACAATGTTAAAATATTCAACTACTAAATCTGTATTAAAAACATTAAACATTAATAATTAGATAATTGCATGTCATTCACTAGTGGACATTATCATACGAAGATTAATAGATTAAATGCATTAATCTAACCTATGATGATATTGATGTTGATGATATTAATGATTATAATATTCTAACTGTGATGATTACAAAATGTCACAAATGGTTCACTGAATTTTGTGCCAATATTCAATGTACATACCGTACACATGTTTGTACCTTAAAGTAAGTTGGCACACAGGTAGACAATGAATATTATTATTTCTATTGTCTGTGAAAAGACTTGAAAAGACACACGTCTTGTTTTGCCTTTTTATTATTCTGACCTGACGTTATTGCATACATCAGGCCCGTAGCTACAGTAGAATCTTCCAAGTG